CTCTCTTGTTGCCTGCTGCTGCCGCTGTTGTTGTTAGCAGTCAAAATAGTGTTCGAAACTAAACAACAAGCAGGCATTCAAATGGGCAGCTACAGTGTTCACTCATTACAAGGGTTTCGCCCATGATTAATCTTAAAACATTCGATGGTGCTGCCACATTTTCAATCCTTTGTCAGGTGGCAACGCCACCGATCTGCTTAATTGTCAGCTTAACAGTCTGAACTGCCTGCTAATTTTACCAGGCGGATAAAGTTAATGAAGTGTGAACAGTTGCGAAAACTGTTTGGTGGTCTCCGTTGAATTTGACTAAATGTAAGTGCAACTGTTTACTTTGACGAATACCTTTTAAAATTTTAATATTTCTAAAGGTTTTTTCAAGAAAATGGAAGAATGTGACATGGAAAGAAGATCTAGTCAAAAATATTGCTATAATTAACAGTGTTTTATTGAACATTTTTTAAACTTATTTATATGTTATGCTACTGGATTCCTCTTTTAGCCGGTGCTCATAGTACTTATGGGCGGGTAGAGAAATTGTCGAGTTGTTAAAATTGGCAAAGCTAAATCCGAATCAGAGGCGAAATGTGTGTATTTATTTATTACTCATACGCCACGTGCGACCAACCGGCCAACAAATTGATGAGAACCATTTGCGGCGCTGCACAGCTGTTGTGTTGCATTGTTGTTGCTATTGTTGGTATTGTTATATCGTTAGGCTAGAAGGTGTTGTGTGTTGTCTATGGCACGCGATGGCAAATGCCTTGCGATTATAGGTGTATAGCCCGGCGCATGATAATGGCCTGCATTGAAAAGGGCAAAGGAAATACACGCTTACATTTTTTTAACGCTGTCAGTATTTGGGTATATTTGCGTTTAAGAATCCGGTACAAACTTCCTTACTTAAGTTAGTTTATTTTCCTTTCCGAAATTCTTGTTTGAGTTTGGATTTAATCATAGTAATTCCTTGATTTACTTATTTTAACAGAGGTTTCATTAGTGCGGTGTCCACAGGCTGCTTTAACCCTCGACTCACTTAGACCATAATTGGTCCATTGTGATGCCGCAGAGGACACGTACTTTCCGTTTTCCAGACCAAAATAACGGCAGAGGGACCAATAAGCCTTATGTACGGATGAATCTTAAATGTGTTTGAGTCTTTGCTTATAGATATCCTATAGGTTTAAAGGCAATAAGTTCCAACGAATTGGTATCTAGTTTTGCATAGAGTGGGACAGGGTCGGATCTCTTGCTCGTCCCTATGACAAAAACAGCTGCATAAGCCGATAAAGGGGGCTAGGATTCTGTCGGTGCCCACCAGCCAGTCTCCAGTAATAGCTCTAACTACTGCTGTGCAACTGAACCCATCCAGCTGATACAGCTCTGTGGAGCGTTTTTAACACCGAGTCGGCCAAGTTTGTCGGACGAAACACAAAATGCCTTTGAATTAAAAGCATTCAAGTGTCTCTCGTTTTCTTATCGCAGAGGATCAAATCGTTATTTGCCAGCCTTGGCAGTTGGTCTGTTCGGAAGTTGCCATCGATCTCTGTGTGGCCTAAGCCCGTTTAAGATGAACATCAAACTGCTTAGACATCTCCATGACGATTATCTAGTTAGATCCTTCCGTAAGGATCCTATCGCAGCTATCCTATATATGAGCTACAGTAGTCGGTAGTATGGGGATAAGATGGACTTAAGCGCCAGAGAATACTGCACGTTGTTATTAATTAAAGAAGTCTTTTTTGTATTTCCCGGTGAAGAGGAATAACTCGGGTTTTGCGGAATATTTTCCCAGGCCAACGTTTGATGTCCATTTGAATACTCTGTATAGAGCATCAGTCATGCGCTCGAACAGAAATTGTCGGAATATTCCCGGGCATACGACAGCACGTTATCCGCGTTGTCGCAATCATGCGATTTCCTTCACCCTCCATAGGTCGTAACAGAGATAGAGGTTAGAAAAATGCCTTACAGGGTGCCTTCTAAGTCGAGAACGGCTACTAAGGTAAATTCCTTTTGCAGAAGAGATTTTCCTTTAGACGAAGTGACAGCAGCTGTTTCAGTGAGATTGAGAAGTGGAAGAGCGGAATTTTACCTCTCAGATGGAGACCTAAAAGCCGTTGCATTGTCTTCAATGCTGTGAAAGGGCAGGAAACTGAAGGTCACGCAGCTTGTCATACTCCGTAGGGTATGTTATCAGCATTTATAATAGAACATCTAGTTGTTCCTGGCTTGAATTTGTTCATTAATCGACAGGTTGCTTAAGATGTCCAAGGCATGGAGGATGCCTTTCGCAACTTTGAACAAAAGAACCGTCTAGCAGTTCGTTTTGCTTGCCGTAAACCTTTTTTGCCAATGCGCATTTAATATAATTGGCTTTGGTTTTAGCTATAGGCATGCAACCGTTTTGTTCCCATCGCTGAAATTAGGAAGCAAATTTTTGTCTTGGTATTTTTTTTTATTTTTTACCCCAGCCTTCCCAGCTAAGGGTTCTGGAGGATGGCGACGTTAGTTCCGTCCTGAAGAATTCAGACCACAAGAGTAGCGGTAGCTGTTTTGGAGTGGGTATGGTAAATCTATACAAGTATTTACCCATCTTTAGTGTTAGCCTTCACCACTGTACAGCTTGTCTCGTCGACGATGACGTCGACAAAGTCCGAAAAGATCCTTTGCGAGACGAGGGGTGTCCTACATATTCCTGTCTAGGGTATTATTAGCCACAATCAACTCCTGGACTTTGGGTGACCCACGGTTAGGCATTTTCGAGGCTCTTCAGCGGCTGTTTAACGTTTACCGAGTGGGAGCGGCATACCTGGATGGATACGCTCTTCTCACTACACGTGGCTATTCCGCTCGACTTACCTAGAGATCTAGCAGATAGGATAGGAAAAGATCGTTTAGGATAAGGATGACGTGGAGAGAAGGTCTCTTCGTCTCCTCTACCTCTAGTTGTTTAAGAATCCTTTTGGATCATGGCGAAAAGACACACTTGAGTGTGTGGCCTGCTTAACACGACGCGTTAGTGAAGCAACCGTCGTATACTATTACTTTGGTCCTGCCCTGATGCCAACAAACATCCAACCACAAAGGTGGTGGCTCTCCAATTTCCATAGCTGCGAGGAGGCTGCTGTCATTTTCCACCCATATCCACTTGTTCCGGGAATCTGGCCGTTCCTATAGCCGCGCTATACAGAGGCACAATTTGGACCTTATCCCTTGTCACCCCAGCAAATGAGCGAGTTAGGCGCTACGGACGTGATCGCTGGATATGGGGTTTGGGCTGCGCTAACTAAGATTTTGTCGAAGCTGATGGCTTAAACTCGGGCACTAACCAACTCCACGAGTGACGCCCACCTGACGACACCTCGAAATAAGATTTGTTCCCCTATAGGCTTTCGTTTTCGGTTATAAAGTGAGCCGGTTAGTTTGTGTTTTTGTTCTTAAGATATGTGTTCATATGTGACTCTCACGCATAATCGGGTAAATGGATCACAGAAAGAAAGAGGCATTTCCGAATCCATAAAGTGTATATGTTCTTGATCTATATATCTGACCGACTATATTATTGCGATGATCTCGGAAATTACTACTAAAGCTAAAGGCTTAAAAATTAAAATATATATTCTTGTATATCATATAAAAGACGAGTTCCATATCCATAATATCGATAAGTATCGATTTTTTTTAAAGCTCGGAGATTATGAGAGATATGGTGATGGCCGTGTACCATTCACAAAATATTTCAGATACCTCTTCCTGTTCTCCGGAAAATTGAAAAAGGTTTATTCCTAAAGCTAAAGTCGGTTTGGCATATCCCAAAATTTGGGTGACATATGGATCGGATAGTTAATACCGAAATTATGCAAAATGCACTTCCAAGAGTGCGGGACCAAGGAAATGTGTGCTTTTGGACGTTGCAATGGTTGTGAAGGCATCAGGACAACTCCTAACTAGAATCGGATTTTTTTTTGTCTGTGTGAGGGATGCTCCAGACTGATCATAGCGCATTACTAGTTCAAAGTTAATAGCTCATTGGGGGAAGATAACGACGACGACGACGACGACGTTGACAACGTGTCTGGTCCTCGCCATTTGATATATATGTGTATCCACCAGAAAGATGACGGTTGGGCAATGCCCGCTTATCGCAGCAGGGCGCCAGTAAAAGCGAGGCACGGAGAGGCACCCAATAACTTAGAGCCGTAGTCATGCCCGGTGCTAGGAAATGCAGTGAGATAGGGAAAAGTATGCGGCAGCGGCCGGATACACTGGAGCTGGATGTACTGACCGGGGACCAAAATAGCGCAAAATACGAACTAAGGGATGAGGAGCAGGGTCAGGTGCAGGAGCAGACGGCAGCAGTGATGCGTCGCACCCGTTGGTTTAATTTTGCAAGTAAATCGCGACGCCGTCGACGACAGCGATGCGAAGAGGAGCAGATGCAGCTGGCGCTGGAGCAGGAGCAAGACGAGCAGCTGCAGCAGGTGCGCCTAGCCCAGCCGGAGACCATGAACATCGGCAATTCCACGCTGACAATAGCCTCGCCCTTGCCCGCAAACTTGAAAGCAACGGTGACAACGACAACAACAACCACGTCGAGCGACCTGGCCGAAAGCTTCTATAGCCTGGCCAATGCGGACATAACGGAACCACCTATAACCACCGTCGATGTGGAACTGCAGTACAAGGAACAGCCCCTGGCCAAGCCGCATTTGTCCATGCTGCAGCGCTTCGCCAGCTGGCGGCGCAGTGCGCCCGAAAGCCTGCCCAGCCGTCGGTGCAGTCACAGTCCACTCGATGAACTGGACCCGCAGCAACCGCAACTCCTGGCATCGGCATCGGCGCGTAATTTGCGACGCTTATCGCAACTGCGACGCCGACGCAGCTCGTACTATTTCTCGGGTAATTGGGCGGGACATTTCCCTGTAGTGCCTTTAATGGCTTAGGCTTAACTCAGAACTCGTGTTTTGTAGCCAACTAATTTGTGCCTTCTTCTATTACAGATAATGAGCGCAGGATCCGCGCCAATGACAAGGAATTTAATTCTCAGTTTAAATATCACGTAAGTTGAACGGATTATCTCTCAAATTCATGCTATGGAATATTCATTTTGAATAACTCCGTTTGTTGTTTATATGAAGTGAATAGCTACATCTCTATATATAAAACTGTTTGTCCTGACTGACTGACTGACTGACTGACTGACTGACTGACTGATTGGTGATCAACGCACAGCCCAAACCGTAAGAGCTAGGAAGCTGAAATTTTCACTGTAGCCACCTTATGTGATGTAGGTGCACGTTAAGACGGGGTTTCGGGAAATTCCACCCGCAAGTGTAGCAAAATCGCGAAAAACGTTTGTATGTAACTTTTTTGTTTACCATCCGATCGGCCTCAAACTTATTTTCAAAGATCTTTGTTCAAATTCATTTGAGGGGTGTTTCACACTTTTCGAAAAATCCGTTCCTCCTTGGTGGAAATGGAGGTCAAAGATTTGGTGGGTGACGTTTCGCGCTCAAATTCATTTCCAGAGATCTATAAGAAAAATCATTTGCTACGTGTTTCACACTTTTCGCAGAATTCAAACTTCTTCGGGGGGAATGCGATTTAAAGATTTTTTGGGCGAAGTTTTAAGTTGTGTCCGATTTGCTTCAAACTTATTTTCAAAGCTCTACATAAGAATATAATAAATACGTATTTCAGCGATTTGGGAAATTCCACCCGCAACAGTGGTAAATTGGCGGAAAACGGTTTTATGAAAGTTTTTTGTTTACCATCCGATCGGCCCCAAACTTATTTTCAAAGATCTTTGTTCAAATTCATTTAAGGGGTGTTTCACATTTTTCGAAAAATACGTTCCGCCTTGGTGGAAATGGAGGTCAAAGATTTGGTGGGTGACGTTTCGCGCTCAAATTCATTTCCAGAGATCTATACGAAAAATCATTTGAGACGTGTTTCACACTGCTCGCAGAATCCAAACTTTTTCGGGTGGAATGCGACTCAAAGATTTTTTGTGCGAAGTTTTAGATTGTGTCCGATTTGCTTCAAACCTATTTTCAAAGCTCTACATAAGAATGTTATGAATACGTCTTTCAGCGATTTGGGAAATTCCACTCGCAACAGTGGTAAATTGGCGGAAAACGTTTGTATGAAAGTTATTTGTTTACCGTCCGATCAGTTTCAAAATCATTTCAAATTTTTTTGCGAACATTGATTTTATAACATACGTGCCACGGGCAAGGCCGGGTTATATCCGCTAGTCTCTATATATAAAACTGTTTGTCGTGACTGACTGACTGACTGATTGGTGACCAACGCACAGCCCAAACCGTAAGAGCTAGGAAGCTGGAATTTTTTACTGTAGTTACCTTATTTGACGAAGGTACACGTTAAATATGGAAATATCGAGAAAAACGTTTGTATGCAACATTTTTGTTTACCATCCGATCGGCCTCAAACTTATTTTCAAAGATCTTTGTTCTAATTCATTTGAGAGGTGTTTCGCACTTTTTGGAAAATCCATCCCTCCTTGGTGGAAATGGGGGTCAAAAATTTTGTGGATGACGTTTCGCTCTCAAATTCATTTCCAAGGATCTACCTAAAAAATTATTTGCGACGGGTTTCACATTTTTCGCAAAATCCAAAGTTCTTCGGTGGAAAGTGCAATTGAACGATTTTTTTGGTGTAGCTTTAATTTTTTCCAATTTTCTTCAAACTTATTTTCAAAGCTCTGCATAAGAATTTAATGAAAACGTGTTTAAGCGATTTGGGAAATTCCACCTGCAACAGTGGTAAATTGTCGGAAATCGTTTGTATGAAAGTTGTTGGTTTACCATCCGATGAGTTTAAAAATCATTTTCAAAGCTTTTTGAGAACATTTACTTTACACGTGCCACGGGCAGCGCTGGTCTATACCCGCTAGTCTTACTATATTTCTAACAAAATATATGTTTTTATATTTTTTAGAGGGTAACGGCGGAGATATCTTAAACTATGAATGATCTTTATCTGTTTGTTCCACATGAGAGCCTACATACCAAATTTGTTGCTTCTAGCTCCGAGATAGACTCTAAAAGTCTAATCTGAAAATCGATTTTTTTTGATTTCGTGGAAATAGAGTGAAATCAACTGGATCTTCACGGTTAATTGGGAACCCTAAGTTCCAATTTCGAAGCCCCTTGCTCTTATTGTCTTTGAGTATGTCTAGATTAACTCGACTCTTAATGTTGACCAAGAATATTTATACTCTATTGGGTTGGAGACGCCTCTTCCTGTTTGTCACATTCATTGGTATATGTTGCGAACGGGACATACTTGGCCTGTAAGTTAAATGTAGGAAGCAAAATGAATCCTGCATTTGGGATCGGTTCGGAGATGTCTCCTTTAATACAAATGGCAATTAAATCTATATAATCTATAAAGCCCATTGTTATGACTGATATACACGCATTAGGGTTACTAAGTACGAGGAAGCTGAAATTTTTACTGATGTTGGAAGTACAAGCTAAGACGGGGTTTTCGAAACTTTTATTGGATTTAATCCGCATTAAACTTATTTTCAAAGATTCTTATGAAAAATCATTTAAGACGTGTTTCACGCTTTTCGAAACATTTATTCCCATGGGCGAAAGTTCTCTATCTCTATATTTAATTCTGTTTGTCCTGACTGACTGACTGGTGATCAATCCAAGCCTTAAGATCTAGGATGCTGAAATGTTCACTGTAGTTACCTTATGTGATGGAGGTGCATGCTAAGGCGGTTTAAGGTTTAAGGTTTATAAAATAGCACCCGCAAGTGTGAAAAATAGCTTAAAACGTTTGTAGGAGGTATTTTTGTTAACATTCGATCGGCGTCAAACTCATTTTCAAAGTTTTTTTTATACCCTTGCAGAGGGTATTATAATTTTGTCGTGAAATGTTCAACGCATAGAAGGAGACATCTCCGACCCCATAAAGTATATATATTCTTGATCAGTATCAACAGCCGAGTTGATATAGCCATGTCCGTCTGTCCGTCTGTCTGTTTCTATGCGAACTAGTCTCTCAGTTTTAAAGCTATCTTTATGAAACTTTGCAGAAGTCCCTCTTTTTGTTGCACGCAGTTCATATGTCAAAACCAGCTGGATCGGATCACTATATCATATAGCTGCCATAGGAACGATCGGTCGAAAAGTAGGTTCTTGTATGAAAAACATTTTTGTTTATAAAGTTATCTTTACTAAACTTGGTATTTATTAGTTTTACTACGTTCCCCATATATATGCAAAATCCTATTAAGATCGGACAACTATATCATATAGCTGCCATAGGAACGATCGGTCGAAAATTAAGTTTTTGTATGGAAAATTTTTATGTTTTTCAAGATATCTTGACCAAACTCAGTACTTATTAGTTTTATTAAGCTCCCCATATATATGCAAAATTCGATTCAGATCGAGCAACTATATCATATAGCTGCCATAGGAACGATCGGTCGAAAATTAAGTTTTTGTATGGAAAATTTTTATGTTTTTCAAGATATCTTGACCAAACTCGGTATTTATTAGTTTTACTACGCTCCCCATATATATGCGAAATCCTATTAAGATCGGACAACTATATCATATAGCTGCCATAGGAAAGATCGGTCGAAAATTAAGTTTTTGTATGGAAAATTTTTATGTGTTTCAAGATATCTTGACCAAACTCGGTATTTATTAGTTTTACTACGCTCCCCATATATATGCAAAATCCTATTAAGATCGGACAACTATATCATATAGCTGCCATAGGAACGATTGGTCGAAAATTAAGTTTTTGTACGTAAACCTGTTTTGTTTTTCATGATATCTTAACCATACTCGGCATTAACTATTTTCCCTGTACTTCTTAGATACGGGCAAAGCACTATAAGCATTTTGAAAAGGTTGGGTCTGCAAGGGTATTAAATCTTCGGTCTGCCGAAGATAGCACTTCTTTCTCGTTTTTAAATCTTATTGGAAAATCCATTCCTACTAGTCTGAAAAGGAGGTCAAGGATTTGGTGGGTGAAGTTCTTCATGAAAAATCGATTGTGACGTTTCCTCTGTGGAAAACGCGATTCACAGATTTTTCGGGCGAAGTTTTAAGTTTTGTCCGATCTGCTTTAAACTTATTTTCAAAGCCATACCTAGGAACTTAATGAATACGTGTGGCTAATTGGCAAAACACGGACGTACATATGATCCGATCGGCTTCAATAACATTTTCAAAGAACTTTGTAAAAAATCCATCTGAGACGTATTTCACACCTTTCGCAAAATCCACCGCTCTTGGTTTTATGAACAAAAGTTTATTTTTCGGTTTTAGATTCTCACCACAAGACTAACATAGGCAGAATACTTTAATTCAAAATGTTGGTTCCCTTTTCGATTTATTCTAAACGTATTGCCAAATATCAATGTAAGATATAGACGTGGAGTTCAAGATACTTAGTTCGGGTACATTTAAATTATCTGCATTTGAAGCATAAGTTGTGAGTACTCATAAGTACTTATATTTTAACAAAGATTTTGGATTCGTTTCTTTTCGCCCATATAGAACAACTATATTAAGACGTCAAAGTATACGCTGTTAACTTTCCTGCCGTTCAATCTGCTCGAGCAATTTCAGCGATTGGCGAACTTCTATTTTCTGTGCCTGCTGGTGCTCCAGCTCATCCCGGCGATATCCTCGCTGACCCCAGTGACGACGGCGATACCCTTGATTGGTGTGCTGACGCTGACCGCCGTAAAGGATGCCTACGATGACATCGTAAGTGAAAAACTTTAGCTCCAAAGTGAAACTAAAATGAATAACCCTTTTTTTAATGACAGCAACGACATCTGTCCGACTCGCAGGTGAACAACCGCAAGTCGAAGACACTGCGCAATGGGAAACTGGTGGAGGCGAAGTGGTCGGATGTGCAGGTGGGCGATGTGATACGCTTGGACAACAATCAGTTTGTGGCCGCCGACATAATGCTGTTGACCACGTCGGAGCCAAGTGGCCTGTGCTTTATTGAGACAGCGGAGCTGGACGGGGAGACGAACCTGAAGGCCAAGCAGTGCCTAATGGAGACCACAGAGCTGGGCGAGCAGCACGATCTGCTGTGGAGCTTTAATGGCGAGATCATTTGCGAGCGACCCAACAATCTGTTGAACAAATTCGAGGGCACACTCATATGGAGGAATCAGCGATTCGCACTCGACAATGATAAGATCCTGCTCCGTGGCTGTGTCCTGCGCAATACACAATGGTGCTACGGCGTGGTCGTGTTTGCCGGCGTTGACACCAAGCTCATGCAGAACTCGGGCAAAACCCAGTTCAAGAGCACCGGCGTGGATCGCTTGCTCAATTTCATTATTATTGGGGTAGGTCAAGTCGCTTTCAATCAAATCATTCGCTCATGTGCTTCCCTTACAGATTGTGCTCTTTCTGATCTCCATATGCGCATTCTTTGCGCTCGCCTGCGCCATCTGGGAGGGTCTGATTGGCCAGCATTTTCAGCTGTATTTGCCGTGGGAGCACATCATACCGCAAGAGATGGTCGCATCCGGTGCAACGGTCATTGGCCTGCTCGTATTCTTCTCATACGCCATAGTCTTAAACACTGTTGTGCCAATTTCCCTCTATGTTTCAGTAGAGGTAAGTTGTAAAGCCCTGTCGCATGTAGGGTGTATGTGTGTCTAATATATGTGTGTTTTATTCTGCAGGTCATACGCTTTGCTCAGTCGTTTCTTATCAATTGGGACGAGGAGATGTATTATGCACGCACCCAAACATATGCCAAAGCACGCACCACCACGCTCAACGAGGAGCTGGGCCAGATACAGTACATCTTCTCGGACAAGACGGGCACCCTCACCCAGAACATCATGACCTTTAACAAGTGCAGCATTAATGGTCGTACTTATGGCGATGTCTATGACCTGCGCACCGGCGAGCTCATCGAAATAACTGAGGTGAGTATTTGCCCTCTATAGTAAGTCTCTATGACCTATACTCTGACAATACAATATACACTATATGTACGTACATATGTTCTGTGTCCGGATATTTCGGTGCTTTTAGCTAAACGCCCATTCGCAGGCATCCGGTTATTCTGTGAAGGTGGGGGAGGGACCTAATTAACTCTAACTGGGTCTTGATTCTAGCTGTGTGTGTGCCTTTTTTGTGTGTGCACTGTGCGCCTGTTGGGTATGCAACAGAAACTTGTACCAGTGTCCAAGCCATAACTCAGTGCACAGTTTTTGGCTTTCAGCTTTCTATATAAAAAACACTTTTATTATATAATATTATTATCATTATTATTCAAATTTATATTATTAATATTTTTTACTATAATTATTATTATTAAAATTATTAACATAATCATAATCATAATCATAATCATAATCATAATCATAATCATAATCATAATCATAATCATAATCATAAGCATAATCATAATCATAATCATAATCATAATCATAATCATAATCATAATCATAATCATAATCATAATCATAATCATAATCATAATCATAATCATAATCATAATCATAATCATAATCATAATCATAATCATAAGCATAATCATAATCATAATCATAATCATAATCATAATCATAATCATAATCATAATCATAATCATAATCATAATCATAATCATAATCATAATCATAATCATAATCATAATCATAATCATAATCAAAATCATCATTATCATTATCATTATCATTATCATTATCATTATCATTATCATTATCATTATCATTATCATTATCATTATCATTATCATTATCATTATCATTGTCATTGTCATTGTCATTGTCATTGTCATTGTCATTGTCATTGTCATTGTCATTGTCATTGTCATTGTCATTGTCATTGTCATTGTCATTGTCATTGTCATTGTCATTGTCATTGTCATTGTCATTGTCATTGTCATTGTCATTGTCATTGTCATTGTCATTGTCATTGTCATTGTCATTGTCATTGTCATTGTCATTGTCATTGTCATTGTCATTGTCATTGTCATTGTCATTGTCATTGTCATTGTCATTGTCATTGTCATTGTCATTGTCATTGTCATTGTCATTGTCATTGTCATTGTCATTGTCATTGTCATTGTCATTGTCATTGTCATTGTCATTGTCATTGTCATTGTCATTGTCATTGTCATTGTCATTGTCATTGTCATTGTCATTGTCATTGTCATTGTCATTGTCATTGTCATTGTCATTGTCATTGTCATTGTCATTGTCATTGTCATTGTCATTGTCATTGTCATTGTCATTGTCATTGTCATTGTCATTGTCATTGTCATTGTCATTGTCATTGTCATTGTCATTGTCATTGTCATTGTCATTGTCATTGTCATTGTCATTATTATTATTATTTTTATTATTATTATTTTTATTATTATTATTATAATTATTATAATTATTATTATTATTATTATTATTATCAACATAACTTTTTAAGAACTGTCTACCTTTACCTTCGGTCCAGGTAATATTAGATTCATAAACTTCATATAAACCTTTAATTCGAGCCCGGATCCTCCATGCTGAGTAATTATGTTAAACGTTTTCTCTTTAATTATATTTGTAATCAGCTTAAAAATATGTTATTACAACGACTTGAGATTCTAAACCCCTCAGTTCTAGAATGAAGTTTTAGTATTAGTGTGCTGGTATTCTATCTTAAAATTATACTTTTTTGTAACACATTCAAGCAGGTCAAGTTGTCCGGACTCGATCACTGTTTTTTACAGCTTCAGTAGGAATGATACGTTTTTTAAGTTTTGGATATATCTCGATAAACATCGAAAATAAATAAGTCTCGTATGAGTCTAAAGCAGGATGATAATTGAGTTGTATGAAAAAAACCTTTAGAGGATAAGACTAATTTGTCTAATTGCCCAAATTTGATCAGCCCGAAACCTATTTCGTTGCTTAGGACCAAACATTTTATTAGTTATTTTTTGTTAATTTTAGCAAAGCAATTATATATGTAAGCAAGCGCCTAAAATCGAACATAACATTAGCCATTTTTGTTAAGAACGTAAAAATTAAGTAAATCACATGCCAAAAACTGCTGCATTGGCGATGGCAGCAGCAACTGCAACTGCAACAGCACCAGACAACAAATTGCAATGGGAGCAACCCAAGTGCCGTATCCCATAATACTACATATTGTATGTCTTTGTTTAATTGTGCGCCCAGCAAACAACTCACATTACTCGTTATAGCAGCAAACACTTTTCCAAACTAGCAACAGCAGCAACTGCAACAGCAACAACAACAGCAACTGCAGCAGCGGCAGCGGCGGCAGCGGCGGCGGCAACAAACGCAGCGGCAGCTCATCGACGGCAGCTGCCCCACCCACAATACTGGTGCACAAGGCGGAGGTGCATGAGAAGAAGAGCGCAGTGCTGGTAACCACCGACGGTGGCACCCAATTGGCCCACAGTGCGGAGCAGCTGCGCGGCTGCATTGCCAGCGAACGATTGTCGCCGACAGTGAGCACAGTGGAAAATCCGTTGGCCCGGAAGCAGGTGCACTACCTGTCGCCTAGCAGAAGTGTCAGCAACGAGGATGATATGGATGATCCTGGCGGGCACACGCGCACGCGCACGCACTCTGCCAGTGGCAGTGCCAGTGGCAGCAGCGGATTGGGCGCTTGTTTTACGCGCAGCGGCCAGCGCATGCGCCGTCAGCTGTCCGGCGGGCTGTCGACGAGCAGCGGCAGCGGCAGCGACAAAGTAATAATCTTGCATGACAATCAAACAGAACACGAGCACCAACAACCAGAACAACACCAGCAACAACACCAGCAACAACACCAACAACAACATCACGAACAACCGCAACAAACTAATCGCAAGCTGGTCAAATTCAAGTCAAAGCCATCTTCTTCTTCTTCACCCGCAACCACACTCGAGGCTTCAGCCAACAACAGCGACAGCGGTTGCTGTGCTCCATTTCGACAGCACCATCAACACCACTGCAGAGGCAACAAAGATAGAAGCAGCACCACAACCACCACCGCTACCACCACCGCACACCACCGTTATTTAAGCACCCACCGCTTTGCCACAAATTGGAGTTCGTCCCACCAAAAAGTGCACGTATGCATGTTGTCCTCATGTTCTCGCAACCCGAATATCGTATAGAGCTCGGTTTTATATGTACATATATTTGATGTGTTGGCTTTCAATGTGTCCCCAATTAGCTTCGCCCAGTGTGTTTGTGTGTGTATGTAATTAAATACACTCTGGCCGGCTTGATCTAAGTTTATTGATTGCTTTTTGGGCTATTAGTTGGATATATACTTATGTACATATAATTATTTGCTTTGCTGGCTCGCGTATGCCTTAATCATATTTTAAAAAGAACATTATGCCAATACACATACACACGCATATACATATATTAAAATACACACACATAAGCTTTATATGGCGTGTTCAACGTATAAACCTAGGCTAAGTAGTAAAAAAGTCAAATCCTTATAATAAAATTTATTGTATACCTGTTTACCGATTGCTCAATTCGTAATAAGAACTAAACATCCCGTTACCCACAGCTTGAATATCTTTAAATTTCTTTTATTGAGTTTACTGTTTACCGTATGATAATATCGTATTGCCAATTGTGCTTGTCGCATGTCGTATTTCAAATTTCGTGTAGGGCATTTTTACATCGTAATTAAAATACCATATACCTGTGTCTCATATTTTGTTAACGCCAACCGTAAATTAAATATTATAAGTGGTATTATCTTATTTAATAAATGCCGTAAGCCTAGTGTCTGGTTTAGTGAACAACATATTGACAAATATGCCAAAGCGTTTGTGTATCGTACATAAGCCAATATCGTATTGCGAGTTGAGTACATCATCATTAAAGAAATATCGTATTTACACCCTGTAATAACTAACCACACAGTATGATAACATATCGTAAACTCTTATCGTACCCAAATTTGGTGCCTGCCTCTGCTTTATACTAGCATACATATACAAATATTAACAGCTTATAAAAACAAAATTAAAAATGGTTAAACTTAAATATATCCCAAGCCCATGCAATCCAGTCTAATAATCCCATTTGATCAACTCTTTCAGGCACTCGAACCGGTAGACTTCTCGGCCAATCCGCACCACGAGAGCGACTTTCGCTGGTACGATCGCACATTATTGGATGCGGTTCGCTCGGATGAGCCGCACGCACATAACTTTTTCCGACTGCTCGCCATCTGCCATACGGTCATGGCGGAGACCGTCGATGGCCGCCTCGAGTACCAGGCGCAGAGTCCAGACGAAGCTGCGCTCGTCTCAGCGGCTCGCAACTTTGGCTTTGTGTTCCGTTCACGCACACCAAACAGTATTACCATCGAAGTGATGGGTCGCCTGGAGGTGAGCTTTGGGCTAGTACTTCGGCAAATAGTATAGATGTTATCCAAGTCTTTTCATTACTTTCAGGAATACGAGCTGCTGCACATACTCGACTTTAATAATGTGCGCAAACGCATGTCCGTCATCTTGCGTCGCGGCAACTCCGTGGTTCTCTACTGCAAGGGGGCAGATAACGTGATATACGATCGTTTGCACGGCGGACAGGAGGATCTAAAGGCACGTACACAGGATCACCTTAATGTAAGTGTCCAATAACGTAAATTTAAAATCGAAAAATTTCGAAAATTCAAACAAAATTATTATTTACGTCTTTAAAAATCTTTTATACCTATCCCCTAAAGTGAAAATAACAAAACAAAATATATATATATATATATGTATATATCTCTATATATAAAACTGTTTGTCCTGACTGACTGACTGATTGGTGATCAACGCACAACCCAAACCGTAAGAGCTAGGAAGCTGAAATTTTCACTGAAGCTACCTTATGTGATGTAGGTGCACGTTAAGACGGGGTTTCGGGAAATTCCACCCGCAAGTGTGGAAATATCGGGAAAAACATTTGTATGTTACTTTTTTGTTTACCATCCGATCGGCCTCAAAGTTAATTTCAAAGATCTCTGTTCAAATTCATTTGAGGGGTGTTTTCGAAAAATCCGTTCCTCCTTGGTGGAAATGGAGGTCAAAGATTTCGTGGGTGACGTTTCGCGCTCAAATTCATTTCCAGAGATCTATAAGAAAAATCATTTGAGACGTGTTTCTTCGGGGGGAACGCGATTTAAAGATTTTTTGGGTGAAGTTTTAAGTTGTGTCCGATTTGCTTCAAACTTATTTTCAAAGCTCTACATAAGAATTTAATGAATACGTGTTTCAGCGATTTGGGAAATTCCACTCGCAACAGTGGTAAATTGGCGAAAAACGTTTGAATGAAAGTTATTTGTTTACCGTCCGATCAATTTCAAAATCATTACAAATTTGTTTGAGAACATTGATTTTATAACATACGTGCCACGGGCAAGGCCGGGTTATACCCGCTAGTATAAATATATAATAGTCCGGTAACTAAAATAAAAAACATTTATTATTTATACATAATTTGAAATAAAGGAAGTAAAAAGGTGCATTTTAAATCTATGACAAAAACAATAAAATACTAAAAATTAAATAAATTTAAATTTAATAAAATTCCTTAGTGTCAGCTTCGAGGAAGAAAATAAGTATGTTTTGACTGACCGACTGGCTGAACGGTGACGAAAGCACAGCCCAAGATTAAAACCTAAAATTTGTACTGAAGCTTCTTTTTATAACGGTGGCTTTCATAATCCTATATAGCGTAGGTATCTGAGCGAAGCAAACGAATAGTCGCTGGTTCAACTCCAACTGTTTACTAATTAATTAATGATTCACATAGAAAAAATTAAACAATAATAAATTTAAAAAAAAAAATATGGAAAATATAAGAGAATTAACAATAATAGTGATCATTTCTCCTGTGTTCTATTTACTGCAATTCTGTCATATACATTTTATGTCAGGCCCAAAGGAGTCGATTAGTAGAATTGTTTTCGAAGTGCCGTACAATGACCACGAGGTAAAAAGTTAAGCCGGAAGACGGAAGAGAAAATATTTATTCCTTATTCAAAGTAAAAAATATGTGTGTGTTACTTTTAATAAATTCAATCAAACAAGTTATGCGATTGATTCGAGACATTTTAAGCATCGAAAGCTGTAATGAGTTTCTATTCGAGCGCTTGCTTAGTGGGTGATATAATGTTTTAGGGCCGCCCGTTGTGAGGAACTGGAGCATCATCTCAGTGGGCATGACAGCTTTGATGTTTCAAATTAGTTTGCAATGGATTGGTAAATTTTAAATTGGGTGGCAGACGGAAGTATGACGAGTGCGTATTTCATTTTACTGGCATCACCAAATCGCGAAAAATGCTAGCATACAATATGATATTATTATATTTGCCGTACGCAAATACTTTTCCAATGCGTATAAACAGAAATAATAAGATATTTTCAACATTTACAGAAATTCGCCGGCGAGGGTTTGCGTACTCTGGTGCTAGCGGAGCGTCGCCTGACGGAACAGTACTACAACGAATGGCGATTGCGACAGCAGGAGGCGGCTCTGTCCATGGATTCGCGCGAACAGAAGCTGAACGTGATGTACGAGGAGGTCGAGAGTGATATGCAGCTGCTAGGCGTGACAGCCATCGAGGATAAGTTGCAGGACGGGGTGCCCAAGTCGATAGCTAATCTGCAGAGCGCGGGCATTAAGATCTGGGTTCTCACAGGCGACAAACAAGGTAATCATCTACTGACATCTTCTCAATGTAGAAAATATATCCAATGTTCCTATTTGTTTTTGGTAGAAACGGCCATCAACATTGGCTACTCTTGCCAGCTGCTGACGGATGAGCTCGTGGATGTCTTTATTGTGGATGGCAGCTCTGTGGAGGAGGTGGAGAAGCAACTGCGTCAGTTCAAAGAGTCCATCAAGATATTCGATCGCTTTAGGCCGGGCGGTAAATACTACATATATAGCATGAAATCGAATCGACCAACGGATCAAATTGGCGTTCTTGCAGGTTCCGAGACGCTTAATCAATATAACAGCGACAGCAGTATGGATCCCATGGGCGTTGCGATGACGCAGACATCTGCATTTATGCAGGATCCAAACGGTTCGACCATACCACAGCCGCCGCCAGCCATATCAGTGGTTACCTTTAGGTGGGATGCGAAAATTAAGGATAATAAGGGCGGACCGGACAGGTAGAGGGCACTCCAAAAGAGAATTTCCAAAATCTACCCAAGCAAATAAATTAAATTAAACGAAATAATTAAGATTCTAGACGCAGTGAAGCTAAAACAGATACGACACCAAAGCGCAGCTAGAAAGTCACCCTGTATTTTCTGCTAACTCTATCAATCTGTGTATCTCTCTATATATATTTCTCTTTCTCTCTTTTCGGTTTGTTAACCATGTTTGTTTGTAATCTACAATTATTTCTTTGTCTTTTCTGTTTTTGACTTACCAACTTACTTGTTCCATGATCTCTATTAGATCTCTCTTCTTAGCAGATCAATTGGCACACTCCTCAAAGCATTATATACTAGCTAAATTTCTTTTTTCCTTTATTCAGATATAATTTCTATATGTGTGTTTAGAAGTGGCATATTGCTTTATTAGTTGATCGTAGGAAATAAAAGAAACAAAACAATATTAGATAAAAACAATTATAACTTAATGAATCTTTTAGTAATCCCAAGGATGTTACCCTCTATTGGTACTTGTTCCGCCCGTCAAGTAAAAACAAAAAAAAAAATACACAATTTTAAAAACTAAAACTTAATACAAATTGTTTTTCGTTATCTTCATGGATATAATCAATTAATGTGCATTGTTTAAGTTACGTCAGTTTTGTCATCACAGTCATTATAATTTCTGTACAAGAAAATACGAAATCAAAAACTAAACTTGAGTACAAAACAAATTCAACGCTTGAGCCAAAGAAAAACGTACATTTCTCATGTTAAAATCCTTAGTTGTTCTTGCTATTGTTGTCGTTATGGTCTTTTCATAGCTTGTATTATTTAATTAATTTTCATTCGTAGCAATATCTATGTAGTACATCGTACACCCGTAGTTCATCGTAGTACCGTACACCCTATGTATTCATGTTCATTCAGAGTAATGCTTGTTTATAGGGATTTCCGACATACTCTCTCTTAAGATCGTATGGGAGAGCGGGAGAGTTGTATGCTCTTTCCCTCTCTCTCTCTCTCTCTCTCCCTCTCTCTCTCTCTCTGGCTAACATAACCCAAGAATATATGTCGCTTTTTTGTCTAACTCTCTTTCTGTAACTGCTTTTCGCTCTCACTGTTGACTGTTGTCTCATGGCCATCAATTTAAAATGTCATTCGATATTCATTCAATACAATAATTAAGATTTTGTGTTTCTCATACACACACACCCAACACACACAACAATCAACTAACCGATAAACGTTTGGAAACTTTTCACTAATGCATACCGTCTCTCTCACAACCTACGTGCCGATACAGTGCCGAGTGCACTGATCTCTTTGGGGATGCCGAGAAAAGCGAGGACGGAAGACGCACTGCTCCCTCCGTTGTAGTGGATGAGTCCACAGGCTTTGCCTTGGTTGTCAATGGCCACTCACTGGTTCATTGTCTGTCGCCGGAGCTGGAGACCAAGTGAGTAACTAGCACCTGGTATTTTTAAGTTAAGTTTTAAGTTCTTTTAGAATTGAGCAGGTTCCACTTGTGGCAATGGCTACTCTATTATCATGTCCATAGAGCTTTAAAGTTCCTGTGCCCCTTTCATAGGGCGTCTGGCATATCCGTCGCAAGCTGTGCCTCAATCCGAAATGACAAGTTGAAGACGGAAAGCAGCTAACAGCACCTGTGTCTGACAGTCCTAAGCTTCTGAGATTGTGGAGCCCTTTACTTGGGCGCGCCCTTTTATTTTGTAAATCCATATTGATGTACCAGTGGGGAAACTGCGCCGAGACAAAGGTCATAACCTAGCCTTATCCAAACGGCTGCTTCTATTCCGAGCGATTTTGCGATTTCCCAAGGGTTCCTAAGAGTTAAAACAATTCTATTAAAAAGCTCATATTGCACTACCAAGAACCTTGCCTATTCACTTAGTCATTCTCGCACCCTCTCGTTACTTTCTCTAGGTTCTTGGACATTGCCTCACAGTGCAAGGCGGTGATATGTTGCCGTGTGACGCCACTGCAAAAGGCGCTGGTCGTCGAACTAATCAAGCGTGCCAAAAATGCCGTCACACTGGCCATTGGGGATGGCGCCAACGATGTCTCCATGATCAAGGGTAAGTCCTACACACTCCAAATAAAAGACTACAATTGTTTCATATTTGTCATTTTGCCCAACAGCCGCGCACATTGGCGTGGGCATCTCGGGCCAGGAGGGCCTACAAGCGGTGCTATCCAGCGATTACGCGATTGCCCAGTTCTGCTATCTGGAGCGTCTATTGCTGGTGCACGGACGCTGGTCCTATTATCGCATGTGCAAGTTTCTGCGCTACTTTTTTTACAAGAACTTTGCATTTACGCTGTGCCACTGCTGGTATTCCCTCTTCTGTGGCTTCAGTGCACAGGTAAGAACAGTTAAATCGAGTAAGAACCTGGCCGTCGGGTGTAACCGAGTGCCCAATACTCTGTTCGCAGCTTACGACATTCGAGAAGAATCTTCTTGATAATGGAGTTGTTTTTTTTTTGTTTTTTTACTCTGCGACTGAAATAGGTATAGTTTTGGCTTAATCTTTAGACTATGAAATAAGGGTGTTCGCAAACAGCCGGACAACAGGACGGATATTACGCAAATCTAACAAACTCTGTTTTACTTTTAACAGAGCATTTCAACGTCTCGATGAAAGGTCGACAATATCAGATATCGTTATAGTAATTTAAATGAATGAAAGTGAAAATAAGAATAGAAAACTAGAAGAAAGAATGCGTACAGAACAAAAATAATTCAAGGACTGTCTTTCATTTGATAGAGTATGTAAGGAAAGTCTAACGCGGTAGCCAAAGGCAGTTTATCCTTGACTCACTTGATGAACTGATCCACCTTTCGATCTCCCCAGAGCACAAGTGATTAAGAAGCACTAATTTTAGTCCCGAGGCATTAATAAAATTTGAAATGCGTTTGGGTCCTTGCCTAGAGAGACAAAAGTTAGAGCTGAACGTGCGGAGAAGAGATGGGACGCTTTCTCCTTCTCTTTGCAGCAGTAGCTTAACTTTATCGATTAATCGATTATTCTTGCATCTCTAGACCGTGTTCGATCCCATGTTCATATCGGTGTACAATCTGTTCTACACATCACTGCCGGTGCTGGCACTGGGCGTCTTTGAGCAGGACGTTTCGGACAAGCATAGCTTGGAGTACCCGCGTCTTTATGCGCCGGGTCTGAAGAGTGAACTCTTCAACATACGCGAGTTCATCTACAGCGTTCTGCATGGCGCCTTCACCTCGCTCATCCTGTTCCTTATACCGTATGGCGTCTACAAGGATGGCGTCTCGCACAATGGCTACATATTGAGCGACCACATGACCCTGGGCGCTGTCGTGGCCACCATACTGATCGTGGACAACACAGCCCAGGTGAGTAGCCAGGAAGAGAGTGCGGAGTTGATTAATTGTTTGAATTTGGCGTTAACTTGCAGATTTCGCTCTACACCTCCTACTGGACCATAGTCAATCATATAACCATCTGGGGCAGCCTCATTTGGTACTTTGTGCTAGACTATTTCTACAACTATGTAATTGGCGGACCCTACGTAGGCTCCCTGACACAGGCCATGATGGATTTGACCTTTTGGATGACCATGCTAATAACTGTCGTCATGCTGATGGCACCGGTGCTAGCCTATAAGTTCTATCTGCTGGATGTGCATCCTAGCTTGTCCGACAAGGTGACAAACTGCTGCAATGCGTTTCTTATCGGATTCTGCTTTAAACGGTATATTTCCCATGTCTTAACAGATTCGCCAAAGGTCGCTGAAGAAAGTTCACTCGCGCGTCTCCAGCGATGTGCGGCGTACTCCGTCCTCGCGGCGTGGACGCCGCTCTGTGCGTTCAGGCTACGCCTTTGCCCATCAGGTGAGTGCAGCTGGAGCTTTAACATATTTTGTGCCTCACGCTCATGTTGTCTATTTACTACACAGGAGGGCTTTGGCCGGCTGATCACGTCGGGCAAGATTATGCACAAGATGCCACAGGACTTTGCCTTTCCGCTGGGCTTGGGCACCAAGAAGACGCAGGCGCTGCACAATAACCTGGGCGATGGCGTGACTAAAAAGCAGACGCCCTCAATTAGCCACAACCACAACAACATCAGCAGCAAAAACAATAACAACACGAATCTGCGTCACAATCACAACAATCAAATACATTCATCAATGGCGGATATAAGGCACGATGGGCAAAGCAGCAGTGATATGAATCAAGGAAGCGCCAGCACGGACGAGCTCAGCCCGCGTGCGCCCTGTCAGGATCTGGATACAATTAATCTCTAGTATCACAACAACAATAACAAAAACACCAAAAATAATCGCGACTTCAACGATTTTAAGCGAAGGCAAACACAAAACCAAGCAAAACAAACAGAAACAAAAAATGTATAAGCTTTAGCAACTATATAGTTTACAAATGAGTGTGCGTGTGTGTATGTAAGTATGTTTGTCTGTCTGTCCGTTTCATACTTGAAACATACTTTTATTATTTAAATTTATTTCTCTTTATTTATTTAAACCACCAAAAACTTACCCTAAATCGTTCCAATACCTCATATCTCCCGAATCTAAGCCGATCAGTCAAGCTAAGCGCTATCAAGCTCATATCTCTTTAATGATATAGTATGCGAATTGCTTGAGTATTTAGCATATAGCATTGTGATTTATTATATAAGTTTTTCCTTATCCTTTTTTTTTAATAGCTTTTTAAAGAATCTTTATTCTCAAATTCATTGAAAGTATTTTGTATTTCTTATCAGTTCTCAACTTTAGGTCAGTTCCAAATAGCATTAAATGCTTAAAACAAGGACATTTTTTTTATTTATTATATTTTTAGTTTATTGAATTAGTTGGCTAGTTGTTAAAGCTTAGCTACAGTCTCAAATATACCAAAAAATATGAATCAAGTATGTATTTAGGTTTTGCATCCATTTCCATTAGCATGCAGTTCTGTTCCACACTACGACAAAATACCTAACAGATTAGTGTGAATATAAGAAAGTTATATAGTAATTGGTCCTCACTGATTTGATGACGCTTTCTATCCCACTTTATAGAAAAAATGTTTTTCATGTTGGGCTGCATTTAGAAGAATGAATGAATGAATAACATGCATGCATGGCCCTAGAAATATCTCTCTTCTCTCACTTTCTGGCACACTTCCATTCGATCTTACTTTAGACGAGTGATTGATTTAAGTATGTATGTAAATGGGGGTTTGTTGCGAGAGTGCGTGAGTGTTTATCTTAGGATAAAAGCTAAACAGAACCATTGAGAAACTGAAAGTGTACTTATATAATTGTTAAATGTTGTGCTGTGTCTTAAAGTAGAGAAAAAACTTCAATGAAAAGTAAAACTAATCTTTAACCAAACCAGGCCAATTCAACTTACCAATTAGGGTACTTGCGGTACTTTCGAAACAAGCTGTAATTTCTAGTTATCTATGATATATACATACGTACGTAAAGATATATATATATATATATATATATATATAGAGATATTGTTAGATGGTAATCATGTTATGTCCAAACACACATAAACACACACACACACACGCACATATAGACAGTCATACACAAAGATTCACTTCTGTGTTCCTAACTACTTGAATATATGTAACAACAGTTCGATTTAGATCTACGTACTAATATTTTTAGCAGTGCAGTCCCTAGTTATAAGCATTATTGTTATTAGTAACCTCTGCAATTGATGTGTGTGTGTGTGTGTGTGCGTGTGTGAGTGTGTGTGTACCTTAACTGCTTTTGCATACAAAACAAAAACCATAAATTTTTTCATCGAACGAGATGGATTTGAGTACGGTATTCGAATTATGTATGGCATAGAATATTACTAACTACCAAGCGGGCTGTGGGTTAGCAACGGGGACGAATACAAAAATGGAAGCGATAATAAACAACACAACCAAGTGAACATTATTTTTTATGCGAAGTATACGGATCAACGAATTAAATGTAAAGAACTCGGTTAAGTCATATCGATCCCTTTTGTAGGCGCTGACAACATTTGGAGCATATTTTTGCATGTTATTGAATTATTATTATTATTATTCTTATACAATGTATGAAAGAAAATAAGGAAAATGTGTGTGTACTTTTTTTTTAATCTACAAATTTAGACAATTACGAAATTATGCTAAGCCAATTTTAAATGATTAATAAATGCGAAATATTTTCAAAAAATATATATATATATAAATACTACTATACAAATTCGTTTTTCATTTGAAATCAAAGTTAATGTTATTTATTATAGTTGTACGATTATCAGGGCAATCTAGAATTCTTTCTTAACGAGCAACTATTTAAATTCGAGTACCTTACAAAGTTGGAAGAAGGTTTGAGCCGAATAGATACATATACAAAATAAATATCTTTAGATGTCTGTGTCACATTACCCGATAGAGAACTTCACATTTCGGTAAAGCACTGTCGGCTCTGCACCAGGGCTCTGCTGCTACTTTTTCGTCTGATTTGCTGATTTGCTGATCCACATATAAAAACCCGGCGAACGCAAACGAATACACCAATGAGTTAATCATTTTGTAGTCAATCGAAGGACACACCTTAAACCGGGTAGCTTAGCCGCGCTTGCGGCTTAATTGGTACCTCAACCTCACGTGGAGATGATCAAAAGAAGACCAGATGAATATCAATTTGATAATTTCCTGGCTGAAATGATATGCCAGCATATATACTTTTGTTACCTATACAACGAGAATTTCAAAAGTTATATTAAATGCATTTAAGGAGACATTTCCTCTTGTTATATGGGTCTTGCAATTTTCCGGATATGGGACAATCGTATCATTATATCTTGAAATAACCAGGGCTTAAGTATTTATTAAAATCTGTGTGCTGGGCGTAATACAGGAGAATACAAAACAAAAGACAAATGTTAATTGTAATTGTAAACACCTAAATCGGCACAAACTCTATAATCAACACATATAAGTAAATACAAGACAAATATAGTTGGTTTGGACAACATGTTTAGTGGTTGTCAACAGGAACATCAGAAAGCGGGCTTAATCATCTCATCTGTTATTAATAAAGCTGCTTACTTAATATTTTCGATGCAATACTTGAAAAATCGTGTAAATCTGAAATACCTGAGAGCAGCGCATCGCACAGCCTCACTTTGCTGAATGATTGGCCAACATTATGAATGAAACTTAGTAAATCCAAAAAAATGTGTATATTTTAAGTCTATTAAACGTATACAACGGTATGATATAACCATTTTTGGGCAGCTGTATGTGTGTGTGTGTGTGTGTGGATATCTACTTAATTATGCGTGTGGCGATGATATACGAGTATGTTAAACACAAAAACTGTCGAAATGCGGAAATCTGGCGCGCGAACCAACTCCCCATATTTAGGAATGGGCGTATCAAAGCGGGCTCGTTGCCAAACTGATGGAGAAGTGCGGTGCGAAGCACAGAGGAACCGGTATATGTGCATTTTATAAGCTAATTCCCATGACAAATCGATTAAGTATTCATTAATAACTTGGGCTCAACGCAACGCTTTAAATTCTAAAATGTGGATGACCCATTTCAGAGGTGTAATACTCGGAGCTGAGTAGATAGGCATTTATCTTAAGGTGTTTTCAGTTATTGACCTGACCCAACACCTTGTATAATCTTCGAAGCGAACTAAATGTTGGTTATTTAACTCTTTCAAAAGGGAAGAAGGATGGGATTCTGCAATAGCTTGACAATTTTCTCAATTATCCCTATTGGCAGGCCTCTTTCTCAGATTCTCTCTGAGCTCCGAAGCTGAGGATACCTCGCCTGAGGCGAAAATGAATAACGTCAAAACAGACCAGATCGTCCAAAATGTATTGATTCCCCATTTCTGGGGGACCACATCATACTGGTACCGTGATACTGGTGACTGTGGAATATTAAGAGGACACTCATGCAACCAGAGCAAGCATCTCTGGATCAGCCCCAGGTCTAATGCTCAAACGCCAGCCCTTCAGGAAACGGAGTCAGTGACCTACTATCGGAGACTAGGAGAGAAACGGCTGACACCAAATCCCAACTATACAATCTCTATAAGTTCCTAAGGCTGACTTTCTTGGTTGTAACAATATCTTTGCGGTCTACTCCCCAATCGGCCCTTGACACCATCTGGCGCCAATAAAAATCTCCTCATCTTCAATTACGGAAGATTGAACATGGGCCGGCGTGGACTCTTGTAGCATGTTTCAAGCGGAGATTCTTGCTGTCTAGCAACAGGCTAAGCAGATTGGCATTTTGTGGGACATCCCTTGGAGCACACGTCCACGGCCAGTCAACTAAGTATTAAAGCTTAATGGATTAGCACTGCTTTCTTTCCCCAATTGGATTTGGCATCCTTTTTGCGCTAAGTCGCATTGGACACCAAATACCCAATCACACTCCCTTACCAGACCACAACCTCCAAGTCGATCATCGACCATAAACTTAAATAAGGATGTCCTTCAAGTGTGTACTTTTGTCAAAAAAAAAGCGAAAGAAAGTTAAATACAATTATCAGGGGAGTGCGGAGATGAATCCCAAATATTAATTAAATGAAAATGATCCGAATGAATGAAACAATCGATGATTCTACAATCAACATAAAAGATAGTTTATTTTAGTAAGAAAATTGTAATCAGGAAGAACTTTCTGTAGACCATAGAAATATTTTCATTTATATGAATTATTAAAATTATTTGTACAGCATAAACATATATTAATAAATACCTTTTTGAAAATTACATATTTAAAACCATAATAGAAAAACTTAATATATTACCAATTATAATAATACAAATTGTGATAATAATAATAATAGCATAAATAATATTTAAAACAATAATAATATGAATACCAATATCAAATAAAATAATTGTTTAATTTATTTATGTTTAAATACTGGTAATTGCATAACTAATCGCAGGTTAAATAAAGTGATGAATCAATAAAGTCGCAATGAGTCAACAATTTGGCTTTTTGCCCACGCATATAGCGGAAAAGTGGCCAATGAGAGTGAGCAAGTGGAATGCTGGTCATGGATCAAGCATATAATGGAAGTGACAAAACTGTTTGCACACTCGGCACTTGGAATCATCTTCATTAGCATGGACATCAACATGCATAATCAGCTGTGCTTCCATGAATAACTCGGCGGATGCTTTGACACTGTCCGCAAAACCAAGTGATAAAAGGCCAATCGCTTTTAATTTGACTAAAACTGAAGTCTTAAGGGAACTGAGTGGAACGGTCGACGGGGGAAGGGGGACGGGGTGGCAGGAGGCTGGTTGTAGGTTGGATTTTAAAATGCGCAACGATGCGCATTAAATAATTTATATAAAAATGCACACAAAACTAAACAAATTTGAAATCTCTTGCATGATATAAGCGAACTGCGACGCCAGCTGCAACGCCATCTGCGACGCCAACTGCGACGCCAACTGCGACTGCGACTGCGTCCATGGCTTGGACTCAAACACAGATTGGCTCAATCGACAAGCGACCGAGTTGTTTTCTGTTGCAACAACACACGAAAGCAACAACAACAACAACAACGACAACCGAAACAGTTCCCAGCGCCGGCCGCGGGGCAGGCCAAGAGGTTCGCTTAGATCGATAATCATATGCAAAAAGCCGGTCAATTTTGAATACACGTGGAATCTGGGCAGGGGTTGGGTTGAGGGGAGTCGTGGGGAATATGGGCCGTTTGGGTCGGAGATGCGCTAATGCTCGTGCTATTGGTGCATATTTTGTGAATTCAAATAAACAAACAAACAAACAAACAACAACAAAAATACAGGCTGCCTATGCCTATTACGTATTATAACATAATTATCAAACCAAATGTCGCAGTCCAGAGGCTAACTAAATGATTTTTAAACGCCGTAAAACTCTCACAATTATCGCTTAATTGTATTAAAAAGTGTATATGGCTATTTTGATCAAGCAATCAGCACTACACTGGGAACTAAGGTCTTCGACACCATCTCTAACCTAGTTGGGGACTCGAACCAGAAAGCTGAAGTAAATAAACGATGCATTGATTCTATTTTCTGGTACGTCCGAGTTACTCGGGTTTAAACCGAATTACTTCCTATTACTATTTATTATTACTATTTACTAAAAAACAAGCAAAAATGCTTTGTTCGAGAATATTAAATACCCTTACCCTAGCCTTGTGTCTCTGTTAAAATAGTGAAGCTGATAGTTGCTGAGGCTCGACATGTGCATCTTAAGGAGTACAAAAACATTCCATGTAAAGCTCTTTTCCGACCAATTGATCCTGTAGAGCTGTATGACATGGTGTTTCGATGTTAAATATGAAATGTAATAAGGATATAGTGGCTCGGTTCGGGCGAATTCGATATATATATGTATGTAGTTCCTGTCTGCAACAGAACAACTGAAAGAATCAAACAGACAGGCATGCCTATGTCGACTTGACTGTTAAAACTAATCAAGAATATATATGTATATACTTCATGAGGCCCGAGAAGTCTCCTTCTATGCGTTACACACATTTCATGATAAACTTGTAATACCCTCTACAAATATACAAGGCAATTATACATTAAGCCAATAAAATGTATGACAGTATTTTATATTGCAAGATATCATCATAAAGTAATCATTTAATGAAGCCGTGTGTGCTATAGTTCAAAATACATACTTAAATAGGCACCCTGTACGATGAAAGTTGTAGGAGGGGGAAGGTCAAATAAAAGATATGTTTCTCTTTTCTATTTTTGTATACCCTGTACCCTTTTCACATTGGTATAATAAGGTCACAAAAGTCAGGAACAGAGAATCTTCGAAGTAAGGAATTGTTAAACGCCAAACAGAGTTTAAAACGTCTAGACCGTAGCTCTAAAAGCTGTAAAATCTAGGTTTCTATATTCGCGAAATAGATAGATTTGATATTTGTCGACAGCTACTCCGTTCCAGTATAGGTTCTAAGCACGCAAAAGTAAGCTATACATACCCAGTATGTCTTTATTTCCCATTTGTATTGTGTGGGGCTGGGGGTAGAGGGTGAGCGCTACTCGGCGCTGGCTGCAGGGCATCTTTAAGTCGGGCATATTCGACTAGATATCTGTTTTCTTTGTCTTTGTTGAAGCTTTTCAAATATCTTAAGTGAATTACGAGAGTTGGGATGAGCAGAAAGCTAGCCCACGAAAGCAAAATGATTTGACTTCGGCTTGGGCCAACGCCGCATTACGCGTGTCTTCCAATTACCATTCGCATTCCCCTTCGCATGCGCATCGCCGGCTCTTCATCTTCGGCGTCGGCTCAAGCTTACATATGTCACGAGCTGGCAGCGAGCAGCGAGCAGCGCGTTGTTGCAACCGATTCCGGACGCCCGACGGCCCTTTAACGGGAATTGTGGAGCTGTGGAGCTGTAGAGCTGCCGAACCGCGCAGCAGCGCAGCCGTGAAGCCATGATGCCGTGATGCCGTGAAGCCCGTGCGTCTGTATAAAAGCTCATCGGCAACGCGAAAGTGGCATCATTCGCTGACCGGGAACAGCTCGACGCGCACAGGTGCTCGAGCATAAACTAACTAAAGAGAGGGAGAGAGATTAAGAGAAAGCCGAAATGAAGGTGAGTTACCAACTGCTCCTTTGGATAAGCAACGCAAATGCATGACTGATGCACTTCTCTGCACCTCGACTCAGGTCTTCGTTTGTCTACTGGCCACGTTGGGAGTCTGTAATGCCACCTTTTTGTCGCTTCTGGGCGGAGGAGGTGGTGGCGGCGGCGGCGGCGGTGCTGGCGGCACCACCTACAATGTGATAGCGACACCAACTAGTATTGGTGGGGGCGGAGGTGCTCACGGAAATGGGCATGCCTATGCACATGGAGGAGGCGGCGGCGGCGGTGGATCTTATAGCCATGGACATGGTGGCGGCGGCGGCGGCTCAGCGCAGCTTATCAAAGTCATTCTGGAAGATGGACACGGATACGGCAATGGCGGCGGAGCTGCAGGCGGACACAGTTATGGACATGGCTATGCCAGTGGTCACAGTCACGGCTCCTATGGCGAGCAGGTGTACAAGGTGATCGAGCACGCAGCACCCGCTGCGCCAGTGGCTTATCATGCGAACAGCGGCGGCTCTGACTACTCCTACGGCCAATCCTATGCCGCTGGTCATGGCTATGGCGGAGGTGATGCCTCCTACCACAACCAGCAGTTGAAAGCAATTCTGCCCCAGATCATACAGCTGGTGCTGCAGGAGGATGCACTGTACGGTGGCGGCGGCGGCGGCGGCGGCGGCGGCTATGGCAATGTGGATGCCATTAATAACCAGCTGATTGACACCTTTGGCCACCGGGGCAAGGCCATTATAATGCGCGCGGATAAAGCGCAGGGTGCCTTCTTCAAGAGCGGCCATGTCGTGCAACGCGGCACGCTCAAAGTGATGCGCGTCCAGGAGAACCAGCAGCAGCAGCAGCACGTGGGTGGTGGCGCCTCAAACGCTGGTTGGAGCAAAGGTGGAGCCTCAGGCGGCGGCGGTGGCTGGAGCAGCGGTGGCTCCGCAGGCGGCGGCTGGAGCAGCGGCGGCGCCTCAAGCGGCGGTTGGAGCAGCGCTCAGCCCGCCGGCTGGTAGAGACCTCGTCGGCCAGTTATTAGTTAGACCAAATGAATTGTTTTTTTTTTGTTTTTTTTTCCCCGCTAGGTTAACTCATCGCAGTCATTAGACAGTCCATTAGTTGCATATATCTATTGGGCATGCGGGGGCAACAAGTGAGCGAGTGGCCCCCCAGCATCGCCCGCTTCGTCATTGTTAAATTATTTGTTAATAAATACATAAATACATAAAACATAAAAGCATAAAGAAACAAACAACTAACAACAGCAACGACAAAAGAGAGCCAATTTGGTAACTTGTTGTGGGCCAAAAGTTATATCATAATGAGCGACGCGACTTTCATTGAATGCCCTTGGCAGTGGGCAGTCTGCAGAGGCGTCTGCAGCCACTTGAATTCATTTCGAGTCGAGCTCTTGTTGCCAAATGCGTAGATCCGAGTCGATCCGAGCCAAAGCCAAAGCCAAAGGTGAAACTCGGCACCAGCATCTGTGGGTCGCTGCAGCTGGCGTAACTCCAAATTGATTTCGGATGCCATCGCTTTGTCGATCTGTGTGGCACACACAAATCTTATACAAATCTTAGACGATCTCCAACTCAATTGATGCTGCGTCCCATGTGAAACCTATTTCTTATGTAACCGGCGAACCGAACGGTAAAAAATTAAGATAGCAGATGATATCTGCGCTTTGCTTTGTTCGTTGACGTTCGACGCTTGAAATTCTCAACAAGTTACAGGCTCGAAATGGGGACAAGGCATTTGCAATCCTAAAGGCGATGCCAGAGTCGGCTGATGATATTACCGGGAAGTTCTTTACTATAGCTATCTGTATAAAACCTGATTATTTGTCGGTATTTGTTAGTTATTATTCATAAATATAAAGACCAACAATGTTGACCTCGAGCCGATTAGTTTAATATTAGTATAATGTAAAATATATTTTATTCTACACCATACTTTAAAGTTGTTTATACCCTGTACCCATTGAAAATGGGCAAAGGGGAGTATTATGGTTTTATGCAAATGTATGTAATGGGCTGAAGGAAGCATAGCCATAGCCCATTAGGTAAATTTATTCCTGGATAGTGTTATTTAATAGATGTGCTACTAATATAATAAGATATCATCTTAGTTGTCAAAGCTTGTTTTCATAGGTAGATTTATCTAATCAAATATGTTTGAAAATCTCTAATTGTGCTCAAAGATAAGATATTCTAATATGCATTCAAACATTTCTCTGATTATTTTATTTGACTTGTTAGGATATAAAAAAAGTTTGAATACCCTGTGCAAATGTGTGTGTAGCCAAGTCAGACATACCTTAATGTATAAGGTATCATATTCTTGATCAGGGTCTCAGTTTTGGAAATTATCTTAATAAAACATTGCAAATTGTATTTTGACTGTACACCAATCTTTTATATTTTTCAATTGACTTTTTACTATGGTAACTCCAAAGATAATACTTCGTTTGGTTCTTTAATTATTTAACGAAATGCAAACAGAATTTTAAAAATCAATTTTATGAAATGTATTCGAACTGGCTCAAAAATGTTTAATTTGCCAGCTGTTCAAGCCTGACAAATAATACATTCAGGAATTTTTTACGACACATTCGTGTAGGGCATAAAACAAACTTGTTTCTGTTTTTACATTTTTTTCGCATACCGAAATTTGAGCTATACATTTTTATTTATGTGAATAATTTTTAATAATTTTAAATAAGTGCGGTGAGTGGAGCTCGCCTCAGATACAATCTCCCATTCGAGCCTAAGGAAAGATCGATTATAAAAATTAAATTTGAAACAAGTACGAGTTCTCTAGTCGGGAGTGCCAGACTATGAGGTATGCTGAATGTATGCCTCTTGGTCCCTTAGTCCCACACTTTTAATGGGAAATGCACTCCTGATTAACTTCGGTGTCTGTAGTCTGATCTTTGTGAAATTTCCAACGCGTGTATATACATAGCGCAATACCCTACCTTTAATAAACATTTTTGGAGAGCGAGAAATTTTTTTAATCTGTAAATGATTTAAATTTGAGAAGTTACGTACCAAACTCTTATAGTTTTCGAGTTCCAAAATCGTTATTCCTCGATATTATGAAAACGGGATAAAATAGTGAAAAAAATCCATGGAAGAATATATGTTTTTAATTTCAGGTCTTTAGGCGTTACACAGACGATCAGACAGACTCAAAGGGACACAGCTGGATCGACTCTGATCGTTTTAAGTGATTAATAATATATATACTTTATATATACTCGATTTGTCTTACTCCACCAACCTTTGGTTTCTGAACAGACATTAGAGGAAAGTGACTAATGTTGGCCATGGTAAATCTTAGGCGAGACTGATCCAAACTTATGCAATAATTACTGCCAAACGCACAGCATAATCACTATATGATAAATGTCTACAATGTTTGTGCTATATAGCTGGTATTTCCCGCCTCGCCTGGTCTAAATTCAAGTTTGAGATATCAGGTTAACACCCATTGAAAATTAAACTTTACCCATCGTATCTTGAAGTCCTCGTCATACGTTTTATTTTCCATTGATATGTGAAAACGAGTTTTGAAGTCCATTGAATTTCACTCTATTTTAGTCTCGTGCTGTCAAGCTTAAAGCCTAACAATAAGCTCTAGTTTATAGAAACTTTGGCCCGCATTTTTGTATTCAATAGGGGCTCATTTTGCGAAAAATGGGAAACACGTCTCGAAATAAAGTTCATAAAGATCCTTGGAAGTTGAATTAAGCCCGAAATTATACCCAGCAAATCTTTGACTCCCGTTTCCACCATCAGCCCGTCAAGACAAGCACTTGCATATAAAGAGATGTATTTTATTGTTTAACTGAAGCATACTAATTAAAACAATTAATTAATTATTTATGTTCATCTATATTTTTTTTATTTACCTATTTTACCTATTACTTATTGGAAATAGGAATTGGATATGCAGCAGAAGGCACCTCAAACTCCATTCAAAATATATGTTCTCGATCAACGAGGTCCTATCGTATACATGCGTCGACTTTAACAATTGAATGTAAGAAGAGTACGTTACTTTATGAACTAACTAGCGGGTATAACCCGGCCTTGCCCGTGGCACGTATGTTATAAAATAAACGAACTTAAAATTCACCAAAAAAAACTTTGAAATGCATTTTCCACCGAAGGAGTTTCGATTTTGCGAAATACGTGAAATACGTCTCAAATGATTTTTCGTATAGATCTTTGGAAATAAATTTGAACACAAAACGTCATCCACCAAATCTTCGACCCCCATTTGCACCAAGGAGGGATGGATTTTTCAAAAAGTGTGAAACACCCCTCAAATGAATTTGAACATAGATCTTTGAAAATGAGTTTGGGGCCTATCGGATGGTAAACAAAAAATTTTCGTACAAACGTTTTCCGCCAATTTACCACTGTTACGGGTGGAATTTCCCAAATCGCTAATATACGTATTTATTAAGTTATTATGTAGAGCTTTGAAAATAAGTTTGAAGCAAATCGGAAACAACTTAAGACTTCGCCCAAAAAATCTTTGAATCGCATTCCCCCCGAAGAAGTTTGAATTCTGCGAAAAGTGAAAAACACGTCTCAAATGAATTTTCTTATAGATCTCTGAAAATGAATTTGAGCGCGAAACGTCACCCACCAAATTTTTGACCTCTATTTCCACCAAGGAGGAATGGATTTTCCTTAAAGTGTGAAACACCCCTCAACTGAATTTGAGCAAAGATCTTTGAAAATAAGTTTGATGCCGATCGGATGGTAAACAAAAAAGTTACATACAAACGTTTTTCGCGATTTTTCCACACTTGCGGGTGGAATTTCCCAAATCGCTGAAATACGTATTTATTAAGTTCTTATGTAGAGCTTTGAAAATAAGTTTGAAGCAAATCGGACACAACTTAAAACTTCGCCCAAAAAATCTTTGAATCGCATTGCCCCCGAAGAAGTTTGAATTCTGCGAAAAGTGAAAAGCACGTCTCAAATGAATTTTCTAATAGATCTCTGGAAATGAACTTGAGTGCGAAACGTCACCCACCAAATCTTTGACCTCCATTTCCACCAAGGAGGAATGGATTTTTCAAAAAGTGTGAAACACCCCTTAAATGAATTTAAACATAGATCTTGAAATATGAATTTGGGGCCGATAGGATGGTAAACAAAAAACTTTCATACAACCTTTTTCCGCCAATTTACCACTGTTGCGGGTGGAATTTTCCAAATCGCTGAAATACGTACTTATTAAGTTCTTATAAAGAGCTTTAAAAATAAGTTTGAAGCAAATCGGACATAACTTAAAACGCCGCCCAAAAAATCTTTAAATCGCATTCCCCCCGAAGAAGTTTGAATTCTGCGAAAAGTGAGAAACACGTCTCAAATGATTTTTCTAATAGATCTCTGGAAATGAATTTGAGCGCGAAACGTCACCCACCAAATCTTTGACCTCCATTTCCACCAAGGAGGAATGGATTTTTCGAAAAGTGTGAAACACCCCTTAAATAAATTTGAACAAAGATCTTTGAAAATAAGTTTGAGGCCGATCGGATGGTAAACAAAAAAGTTACATACAAACGTTTTTCGCGATTTTTCCACACTTGCGAGTGGAATTTCCCGAAACCCCGTCTTAACGTGCACCTACATCACATAAGGTAACTACAGTGAACATTTCAGCTTCCTAGCTCTTACGGTTTGGGCTGTGCGTTGATCACCAATCAGTCAGTCAGTCAGTCAGTCAGTCAGTCAGTCAGGACAAAAAGTTTTATATATAGAGATTATATCTACACTAGCGGGTATAACCCGGCCTTGCCCGTGGCACGTATGTTATAAAATTAATGTTTTCTAAAAGCTTTGAAAATGATTTTGAAACTGATCGGACGGGAATCAAACAAACTTAAAATTCACAAAAAAAAACTTTGAAATGCATTTTCCACCGAAAGAGGTTAGGTTTTTTCGAAAAATGTGAAACACGTCTCAAATGATGTTTCTTATAGATCTTTGGAAATAAATTTGAACACAAAACGTCATCCACCAAATCTTCGACCCCCATTTGCACCAAGGAGGGATGGATTTTTCAAAAAGAGTGAAGCACCCCTCAAATGAATTTGAACATAGATCTTTGAAAATGAGTTTGGGGCCGATCGGATGGTAAACAAAAAACTTTCATACAACCGTTTTCCGCCAATTTACCACTGTTGCGGGTGGAATTTCCCAAATCGCTGAAATACGTACTTATTAAGTTCTTATGGAGAGCTTTGAAAATAAGCTCGAAGCAAATCGGACACAACTTAAAACTTCGCACAAAAAATCTTTGAGTCGCATTCCACCCGAGAAAGTTTGGATTCTGCGAAAAGTGTGAAACACGTCTCAAATGATTTTTCTTATAGATCTCTGGAAATGAATTTGAGCGCGAAACGTCACCCACCAAATCTTTGACCTCCATTTCCACCAAGGAGGAACGGATTTTTCGAAAAGTGTGAAACACCCCTCAAATAAATTTGAACAAAGATCTTTGAAAATAAGTTTGAGGCCGATCGGATGGTAAACAAAAAACTTTCATACAACCGTTTTCCGACAATTTACCACTGTTGCGGGTGGAATTTCCCAAATCGCTGAAATACGTACTTATTAAGTTCTTATGGAGAGCTTTGAAAATAAGCTCGAAGCAAATCGGACACAACTTAAAACTTCGCCCAAAAAATCTTTGAATCGCATTGCCCCCGAAGAAGTTTGAATTCTGCGAAAAGTGAAAAATACGTCTCAAATGAATTTTCATATAGATACTTGGAAATGAATTTGAGGGCGAAACGTCACCCACCAAATTTTTGACCCCCATTTCCACCAAGGAGGAACGGATTTTCCAAAAAGTGTGAAACACCCCTCAAATGAATTTGAACAAAGACCTTTGAAAATAAATTTGAGGCCGATCGGATGGTAAACAAAAAAGTTACATACAAACGTTTTTCGCGATTTTTCCACACTTGCGAGTGGAATTTCCCGAAACCCCGTCTCAACGTGCACCTTCATCACATAAGGTAACTACAGTGAAAATTTCAGCTTCCTAGCTCTTACGGTTTGGGCTGTGCGTTGATCACCAATCAGTCAGTCAGTCAGTCAGTCAGTCAGGACAAACAGTTTTATATATATATAGACTAGCGGGTATAACCCGGCCTTGCCCGTGGCACGTATGTTATAAAATCAAAAAAGCTTTGAAAATGATTTTAAAACTGATCGGACGGGATTCAAACAACTTTTATGCAAATCGGAAAACTCTTAAAATTCACCAAAAAAATCTTTGAAATGCATTTTCCACCGAAGGAGTTTAGATTTTGCGAGAAATGTGAAACACGTCTCTAATGATCTTTCTTATAGATCTTTGGAAATAAATTTGAACACAAAACGTCATCCACCAAATCTTCGACCCCCATTTGCACCAAGGAGGAATGGATTTTTCAAAAAGTGTGAAACACCCCTCAAATGAATTTGAACATAGATCTTTGAAAATGAGTTTGGGGCCTATCGGATGGTAAACAAAAAACTTTCATACAACCGTTTTCCGCCAATTTACCACTGTTGCTGGTGGAATTTCCCAAATCGCTGAAATACGTACTTATTAAGTTCTTATGTAGAGCTTTAAAAATAAGTTTGAAGCAAATCGGACACAACTTAAAACGCCGCCCAAAAAATCTTTAAATCGCATTCCCCACGAAGAAGTTTGAATTCTGCGAAAAGTGTGAAACACGTCTCAAATGATTTTTCTAATAGATCTCAGGAAATGAATTTGAGTGCGAAACGTCACCCACCAAATCTTTGACCTCCATTTCCACCAAGGAGGAATGGGTTTTCCGAAAAGTGCGAAACACCCCTCAAATGAATTTGAACAAAGATCTTTGAAAATAAGTTTGGGGCCGATCGGATGGTAAACAAAAAAGTTACATACAAACGTTTTTCGCGATTTTTCCACACTTGCGAGTGGAATTTCCCGAAACCCCGTCTTAACGTGCACCTACATCACATAAGGTAACTACAGTGAAAATTTCAGCTTCCTAGCTCTTACGGTTTGGGCTGTGCGTTGATCACCAATCAGTCAGTCAGTCAGTCAGTCAGTCAGTCAGTCAGTCAGTCAGTCAGGACAAACAGTTTTATATATAGAGATTATATCTACATAAAACAATTTAATTTTTCGATACATAGGCACCAACTGTTGCATTCATAAAGATTGCACAATGCGGACGGAGATTATTCAATATGAAATGAGCCCGCGATAAATAACTTGTATATATAAAGAGAGCTTTATAAATGTATGTTATAGATATAGGGTATCTTACAGTCGGATATCTTCACTAATATCTGACTACTTATTTGAAGACATTTCATTGGGTACTGGGCATACAAAATCAAAACAAAGGCACGAGAAACAAAAATAAAAGACAAACAATTTTTTTTGAAAACAAATTTTTTTTTTTTTTTTGTATTTGCAAGCATTTGAGTTTGTATTTTGGAAACACAGCATAAAATCATATAGGGTAGCTTAACTAAAGTTGGGGGCATTGATTTGCATTTGAGTAGTCCGGCAAACAATATACCATAAATATAACCAAATAATCCACGATCGATAAATTTATACAATGAAAAGAATCAATCAAGGCGCTAAGTTGGATATGGCGACAAGCGGAAAGACCGTGGTCGGACTCAGAGTCAGAGTCAGAGTCAGACTCAGACTCAGACTCTGACACGGAGCAGCGATTGTTGTAAGGAACAAGTTCTCATTGTTCTGCCCGATTGAATGGGCGTTCGTCTAGAAGATGAGGCAGTCGAGCGTCATTCAGATACGTATATGCGTATACGTGAATTAAATATTTCAATAATAATGCCAAACATTTAAATCCCTACCTTTGTACAAGCAAAATTTACATAACGCCATTTTATTTCGATTGGGTTTTTCAAATGCTGTTCTATTTGTGTCTCCGGCCAGTTTAGCTGATCTACTTTTGACAAGGTTCTCCGGCTGCTATATAAACGCGCCGACTGACCGAGCAATTCAACACAAATCATTCAGTAATCAAATCAACATGAAGGTAAGTCCTCCATCGATCCGCACTTGAGCTGCTGTCCGGACCACTTACTTACTTATTGACACCGTTTGCAGTTCTTCCTTGCTTGCCTCCTGTTCGCCGCCTGCTTGGCCCTCGGCCAGAGCAGCGCCATCTATGGCAGCAGCTACGCAACAGTTCCCATTGTGCGCAGCGTGCCCGTCGTCCGCCATGTGCCCGTTGTGCGCCATGTGCCCGTCGTGGAGTCCGTTGCCGTTCCCGTCGTCCACTCCGTCGTGCCACTGCACCGTGCCGCCTACATTTCATCCCCATCTCTGCTGCGTGTTGGACATGCCTACGATGCGCCCCTCGCCTACGGCGGCTGGCTGAAGGAGAAGAAATAAGCTTACCAGTCCCCTGGAACGCTACCGCTTATACGCTTCAATACTCTTTTTTTTTTACTTTTTTTTGTTTAATGTAAAAGCTTATTCTTTAATAAATTTAAAATCTGTACATGCCTAAACAAATCGAATTTTCGCTGAAACGTGGGCCAGGAAGTACTATAGTCCACTGCAAAAAAGCTTAAAAGATCTTTGAGAGTGTTCTTTCCGACAAGTCAATAGAAAATGTGTATCCTTAGCTAGCCCTGCTCACCTTCGCATTCTGACAAATATGCTTATCAATGATATTGGCTGTAGTACAAGATTTACCTGTTAAATGCAACGTTGATCAGTCCTGATTCCCGACTCAGTCAGTCAGTCCGGACAAACTCATTGATATATTTAGTTAACTAGATTCGGGGCTTTGCTTAAAAGTCCGTAGGGTTTATCGATCGAGTTTAACAACGAACAATAGCTTATTTAAATGTGTCCTTGTAAGTCAGGTGAAAGTCTGTAAGTCGGATATGGTTGGCAATTGGCGAAAAATTTGCAACTTTTTCTTTCACTATCGGATCGGCTTCAAACTTATTCGAAAAGATCTTTGGGAAAATTGATTAAATATGCTTTTCGCAAAATGGAAACTGTGAGTCAAACGAATGTTTATTTTTAAGCTTCAAGCTTCTCACCACAAGACTATCATAAGCGGAAGCCGTTGATTCCAAATTTGGTTCCTTCTTCGATGGACATAAAACATTTTTTAAAAATAGAAGCGGAATTTAAGGTAGCACGGGCAGATTTAAATTTTCCACGGAAGGGACGGAAGAGAACTGAGTGTTAAAGCTATATCTAAAATTTAAAGCACCAAAATATTGCTTTCATTTGGGGGCCCCACTCCGCCAAAACGTAAGAATGCATCCTTGCTGAGAAACAGTGTTATTAAAAATCCGTTTCTTGGATTTGTTGGTGATTAAAAAATCCTTACAGCAACGTTTACTGTTGACTTCCTTCTGAGCTTAGATTTATCGTTCCCCAACGTTCCCTATTTTTTCGCAATCTCTAATTCGAATTTTAGAGCTGTCATATTTATTCAATTCTGACTCTATATTAAAAGCTTTGTTTTTGTTCAGCCCCATCACTTGGCTGATCCCCTTTCAATGGAATGTTGCGTCAGCCAGTTTATCTATGACTATGTAGACATTCTGTTTAACTAGGGTTTCCTCTTTCATTTTGCATCTTGGTAACTCTGAGAACTTGTTACCAGCTGTGAGTAGGCATTTGACTGGGCCGAAATTGGAACAATAATTAGTTATCAATTAGGATATTATGAATTGCTTTATTTTTTATTAGACAGCCCTCGTATTTGATCCTAATGGGATATACTGAGATTGGTTAGATTTAACAATCATCTCGACCCAAGTAGTCGAGTTCTTCCAGAGGCCAATGTCTTATCAGGGTGCTTGAAGGAAGCACGCCCGGAACTTATTCCTAGCCAGGGCATCAAGCAGTAATGTTGCCGAGAGGCCGGTAACAGCCGTTAGGAAGTGTGGCACAGGTGCGAAGGATTTGCTGTATGCTCTGAATGTCTTGCAACCTGGCAGTCAGCATTGTACTTGTATTCATTTCTTAGTTGATTCCTAGCGGTACACGTATTTCCTTAAGTTGTAGCGATAGTTACTATCCAAAATGATGTCTATAAGTCTTATGATTATTTGTTCATGATAATGATCATCACAATTATTGCATTATCATTGCTTAGAGAAATGATTATGAAAATAAAATTTAGACAGTTTTGTACCCTGTAACAAATGAAAATGGGTAAAAAAGGGTATGCTGCTCTTGTGCAAATGTTTGTGCCAGGTAGAGTATAGTTATTCATCCGTACCATCCATCCATCTATTTGGAACTGCGGAAGTAGCATAGTGGGAAGCAATCCTTCCTGTGTTGATCTCAAAAAACCTGTTGCCCCAAAGCAACCCGCCTGTTCATGTCCAAATTTGCGTAATTTTTCGCTACTACGTACTAACACTTTATATATCTTTATGAATATGTGAAGATGTGCATCTTCCATCTCTGTCCGTAAATTCTTTGTTTATTTTTTAATTATTTTCCTTTGGGTTTCATTTCCACAAAGTATTGAGTCAAGGCTGATGCCAAGCGTTTCTCCAATATTTTTAAGCCTGAGATAGATAAGTCATATCTTCAGATGAGCAACACCTGTTAAATCTTTTGGGAATAGACCGATTTGCTGCGCCCACCTATAGTCTTGCCGGGTGCAAATTCTATTTGGTCTGCCATCGTAGCGAAGATGTTAATAAAATTAAATAATTTGAATGGGATTTGAACTTATGTACATGCAGTGCTCTCTTGCTAGAGTACCAAGCCGTTGAGGACTGGATTCCACAGAGAAAGGCACATGACTTCTCAGTGTAAAATACCCCCGCCGACATTCTTCCTCGAGACTGGGGTGCAGAGCTTTGAGCTAAGAATTCTGCATATATGTAATATATTATCAAGCACATATCACTTGTGACCTTAGTAGCAGGTAAGCCGAGGCTACCTGTAGCATAGCTGGTGTAATGCCTGCTGTTGCACGCGATTTAAAGGGTTTAAGCGACTTAATAGCTACAAATATTTACCCTGGTTCTACGATCCCCTACGAGACTGGGCTGCTTTCCTAGAACTCTTTGTCGAACTCTTTCCTATAACTCTACGTCGAAGTCTCGAGATTTTACTTAGTTGTGGCCTCGTAAAAGGAAATTACAAATTGCCAAATTTGGCCCTGATCTGCGTTGAGTCCACCACGAGTCGGGATTAGACATTGGAAGACGGCTTATCAGACAGCATTTGATAAATAACAGGATAGGGAAGGTTAAAAAATGCACAAATCTTCAGGAACCATAAATAGTGTTTTTTTCTTTTAATAAGATCTTCCACCTCGAATGCCAATCAAAAGGTAACGAATAATGCCAGATTTCTCCGTTTTGCAACAACTACTCATGCCCATCATATCAATCATTAAGGATATTCCTTAAGGAGAATAAATACTTTATAGCTTTCGATCAAAAATAAAACTCAACAATGAAGCAAAAAATCCCGAGCTGACCAAGAGAAAGATGCCAATTGACAGACAGATATTCGTTGGCGTAGCTCAAATATTTTGATGGAATCTGTGTTTCCCACACTAATTGGGACACATTTACCACGCGCACGCACACACACACACACACACACACATGCACACATGCACACATGCACACACACACACTTATGCATTAGCGATTACTGATGTTGATGCTTGCCGGTTTATGACCATTAGACAATACTTGTGTGTATTAAATGGCAGTTGGTTTTGAATTTTACATAACCAGACGCTTGCTGGCTGAGCCGAGATGTTGGCTTAGTTGACAAAACACACATATTTTTCGGAACACAGACAATTTCGATTCACCTTGAAATTATTGCCCGAAATTGAGATGAAGTTTAAGAGAGTTTTCGGCTTTGGGCTTGGCAGCGGCGGCGGCGGCTCACGTGGGCAGCGTTAGACAGCAAGCCGCCGGGTGATATGCAAATGACACCACGCACAGAGAAAGACAGAGAGGGAAAGGGAGAGGGAGAGACACCTGCTAGAGGGGCAGCATCGATGTTGTCTTATCAGCAACATCAACATCAACGTCAACGTCAGCGTCAGCGTCAATGGCCACGGTCACTTCATTTTCATGCTAATTAGGAATTTCGGAATTTCGGAAATGCAGACGACACCAAAAGACGTTGCAACGTTACGTTAAAGGGGCTTTACGAAATGTAGCATAACTGGAAACTGGAAATTGAACAACGTTATGAAAATGGAAATTGAAATTGAACTGGAAATGGAAATGAAGTACTAACTGGGTGCGGTGTGCGGCCCAATGAAAATGAAAATTAATATGAAAATGAAAGCGACGGCGGCAACTTCTATACAAGCAGTATTTGCATCATCTTCGATGATCATGATTATCATGATGTTCACAATGATGATGATTACGAACTGGCCCTGGCCATTGCAAATGTTAATGAAATGCTTTTGTTTAGCTCCACCGTCTCAGTCTCAGCCCTAACGACAGCCTCTGCGTCTGCGTCTGCCTCTACGTTGATGTTTGGGCAGGGCTAGTTCAAAAGTTTGGGATGCGTTGCGTTGTCTTGGAATTGCGTTGCTAATTTCGTATCATGAAGCCCATCATGACCATTGGTTACAGCAGCTGTTGCTGCTGCTGCTGCTGCTGTGGATGGTTACAACGCATTGGGATGGTATAAAAGCGTGCCACTGCCCGTGGATTGACATCAGTCGTGTTTGAAGAGCACACAATACGTAGAATTTGGCATTAGAGTCATCGTCGAGCCCAAGCAGGAATAGTAGTCAACATGAAGGTAAGCATTCGCCATCCACGACCAAATGCACTGCCTATGCATCCAATTTGATAAACTCCTCTTGCGATTAGGTCTTTGTGTGTCTGTGTGCGCTTTTTGCTGTGGCGAACGCTGGTTTTCTGGGACTAATCGGCGGCAGCGGTGGTGGTGGCGGTGGAAGCGGCAAGTCAGGCTTCAGTCTGGGAGGTGGTAGCGGTGGTTATGGCGGCGGATACGGCGGCGGTTATGGCGGCGGCCATTCGCATGGACATGGATCCGTGCAAGTGGTCAAAGTTATCCACCAACAGGGTGGCATCTCTGGCGGTGGCTACTCTGGCGGTGGCCACTCTGGCGGCGGTGGCTATGCCGGCGGCTACAGCTATGGACCCGCACCACAGGTCTACAAGGTGAAGGTTATCTCTGGTAGATCCGCTGCTCCAGCGCCCATCTACCATAACAGTGGACCCGCCTCCGTCAAAGTAATCAAGGTCTTGCACCAAGAGTCAGCAAATCTGGGCGGTGGTCATTCCGTTGAGAGCGGCCCACAGGTTATCAAGGTCTTACACGAAAACCATGACGCTGGTCACCATATTGCCGGTCCCTCTGTGCATGCGCCCACCAAGGTGGTGCGTGTCATTCACGAGCATGCTTCAGTTGCTGCCCCAGCTCCAGTCTACGGTGCACCAGCACCAGCTCCTATCTACAGTGCACCAGCGCCGGCTCCAATCTACAGTGCACCAGCTCCGATCTACAGTGCACCAGCCCCAGCACCAATCTACAGTGCACCAGCCCCGGCTCCAATCTACAGTGCGCCAGCTCCGGCTCCAGTTTATAGCGCACCCGCTCCGATTTACAGTGCACCCATTGCAGCTCCGGCACCAGCGCCCGTTTACAACGCACCCATTGCCAGTGGTCCTGTCTACAGTGCACCACAACCCATTTACAGTGCCCCAGCACCTGCTCCGATTCAGTATACCGCCCATGCTCAATCATCCGCTCAGGCTCAATATAGCGCCCCAGCTCCGATTCAGTACAGCGCTCCCCTACAAGCACCATCGCCTGTGCTCAGTGTTCCCGAATCTGCACCTGCACCAGCATTCAGCCAAAGCCCAGTTTTAAGCTTGCCCGCGCCCGTCGAAGAGCAAGCTCTGCCCATCGGTCATGCACCTGCCCAGACCTATGGCCCACCTCACTTTTAAGTAGAAATCCACAACAGCAGCACCTGCACCATCCGCACCCACACCACAAAACACCACAGCACCACTGGAGGCGTCCACAATTACCAAACCAGCACATGCACATGTACATGTGGTTGTACATCGAAGACCTCCAAGCCTATGACTTCTACCTCTATCGACCTATTGGCCTATTCCTGTGTGCACCAAACTCTACGACTCCATAAGTTATTTTAATTTTTTTTTTTAATAGATAATTTTTTTTGTATGTTTGAAAAAAATAGAAAATAAACCGACTGTTAAACGAAAACTGCGTTTCTTACAATCCATATATTTATAGTTAAATTTGGCTATTTTCAACGGTCTTCAGCCGGTAAAAATAAAAATGTTAATCTGATTTTGCTATTTTCTCCTTCTTCAAGACAACCCAGTTTATTTTCAATTTGTGCTAGAAATCTAATTAAATTATCTTTTGCAACATTTAGTATTGGATTAAGACACTTTTGTATAGCAGCAATTCGCAACACTGGTTACAGAAATCTGATTTTATTCTGTACGACGAATATCGTAATACGAGCTAGCTACAAATATAAATCATGTTCTTCATGGCACCCGCTTTTTTAAATTACTCAGAGCTTGGATACCCTAAAGAAATTACCTATTTAAATATATAAAAAAGGTACGGGAAATCTTCCTCCTTGTTACTATAGGACTCTATCGACCAGGATTTAATAATCGCAGATTTATGACTGAAAATATTTGGATATTTTCGGGAAAACTGCCTCGCGTCGATTCACGCGCACTCCTACGGGGAGGGGCGGGAGAAAGAATGTTATATCACTGGCGCCCACCATAAACTTGACCTTCGCGCTGGCGCCGATGCACCGCCAGCTGCTGCGCGAACGCCAACGCTGTAACACATTTGCATAAATAATCCATTACATTTCACATTTTCTTTCAATGTTTTGTTTTGTCTTTCGGGGGCTTTACAAATGTTTAAACACGCGATAGAAACTCAAAACAATAACAAAAACAAAAAAAAAACAAGTCGATCATAGTTGGGCCGTGCTGTTGTTGTTGGTGCTGCTGTTGGGCCTCGGTAATATTACGATATTATACATATTCGCCTATTTTATTGTTTCATAACAAATTTATGTCTGCATACGCAAACGGATTCAAATTTGTTTTGTTTTAATTATTTTAAACACAATTGTAAGCTGTTTGTTGTTGTTGTGGTTTCGGTTGTTAAATATTTGTTGTTTACGAGTTTTGAAATTTATTCGGCTGCTTTAACAAGCGCTTCAGCAACTTCCACGGCAATGGCAGCTTCTGCCTTGGCCTGCAACAAGAGACGAAATGTACATTTTTCTTCATTTAAAGTGCATGATATGCAAACTTACCTTGTCGTTTCCAGCGGAGCTCAGCGCCGACTGGTATTTGGAAAGCAGCTGTCTGGCCTCGCTGACGTCGATGTCCTCGATGTTGTGTGCCTCCTCAGCGAGCACCTGCACGGAGGAGTCCTCGTTGACAGTCACTGAGCCGCTCGAGACAAAGTACTTTGTGAGTTTGCCATCATTGTCGGTGACTTGCACAACACCAGGCTTCAGCACAGCTGTGGAACGGAAAGGTCAATTGGTTAGCGCTTGTGATTTTGTTGCAACCGACGATTCCACTTACCCAAAGTTGGCACATGCTTGGCCAGGATGCCGAAAGAGCCGCTGAAAGAGGGCACATCGATTTGGCGCACCACTGCGGCATCATAGAAGGTCTTGTTGGCAGCAGCGAAGGTCAGCTTCATGTCGTCCGAGTAGGAGCGTTTCTGGCTAAGGCGAGCGCCACGCATGGCCACCAAGCGAGCATTTTTCACGAACGACATATTGTTCTGCAACAAGATAAATGGGTGCAAGTGGTAAATCTTAATGTAATTTTTATTTGTTGCACCTTTAATAATATTAAGCTGCTTTCAAATTAAAAGATATACAAATTATGTAACTTTATAGGTTATGCTACAGGAAACAATTGTCAAACACTGAGATTGGTAAGAACTGTAAGGCCGACACAGAGCGCAGCTATTGTGCTGTTTAACAATTGAAAACGCATCCTAACAGTTATTAAATTACCTTTAATTAAGTTGGAGTGTGGCGAAAACAAAAAATACTATGGAATCTGTCGTTCAGCTCGTAACCTGTGCCGCTTTTTAGAGATGTCAAACAATCGACAATAATATCGATTACCCAAATTCTGAAATCATATCGATATATATTTTCAACAGTCCATCGACAGCCCTCCATAAGCTATCGACCATAACCCTCGAGGCTGGTACACAGCTACAGAATGAACGATAAAATTAAGGGTATCGAAATATCGCGTATCGAGTAGAAAAAATGTACAGCCAGATACAAACAATACTCATTGGTAGCTTTGCAAAATCTGTCTGTATAAATTTGTTTACTTGTTTGTTTTAGTGTATAAAAATTGACTTATAAACTCAGAACGATCGAAAAGCATTAAAAAATAGTAAAATTACAACTGCCCAGTGAGAAAAGTGAAATGTATTTACAATTACTAATAGGTCTGCTTGTGGTATCTTCGATGCCGGCAATTGGCGGTCGACCACTGTCTGACACCGTATACCTTGCGGTGGGCACATCAATTGATATAACCGCAAACAGCTATGGGAAAAATGTGCTGCGTACGTTCTGCTACCCGGGAAAATCACGTTCACTATTCAGCTTATTTGAGACGGTGGAGCTAATACTCTCCATAGATAGTGATGACTACTCAGAATATGGCGGGCGCTCGCCCGACGAAGTACTTAACCACTACAATGAAAAGCGTTCGCTATTTAGCCTCACGCTCTTCTCACAAAAGCGCCAAAATATTCAGATGTCTCCATTTGAGCAGCAGTGCATCGGCGTTGCCTCTAATCAGCCATACAACATCAGCCTAAGGCACGCAAATGTAGATATGTGGCGCTTGGTTCAGCTGGCCCTTGGCATGGCACTCTTCTGGAGCGCCAGTCGGTTGGCTAAGAACAACGTCTTCTACTACTTGGCCGGTATGGTGCTAGGCATTTGTGCCTCGTTACTAGTAATCATTGCTATCACAGCCAAGCTTTTTCCGCGCCGACCCATGATGTACGGCGTTTTAATCGGTGGATGGACTATCGGCCTTTACATACTCAAACAGCTATCGGATAACATTCGGGTCATATTGGTCACCTATCGCGAGTATGTGCTCTGGTATTTGGCGATTACTGGGCTGGTATCGTTTCTGGTATGCTATCGCATCGGACCGCCCAAGAATCCGCGCTCGCAGAACATTATCATGTGGGTGCTACAGGCAGTTGGCGCTGCAATCGCTTATTTTAGCAGCTGGCATACTAGTGCCTGCGTAGTGCTATTGGTGGTCGCCTTTATAGCTCATTATTGTCCGGAGTCGGTGCAGAAATACGCACACAGCATTTATAGACGCCGTTTTCCACCCAAACGTCGCCTACTTACACAGGAGGAATACTATGAACAGGCTGTCAATGAGACGGCACGCTCTTTGGCTGAACTGCGTGACCATGTCAATAGTCCGCACTGCCGTCAATGGAATATTATAAGCTCCTTACGCGATCCGATGCGCTTTGCATCCTTTGCAAATGGTGCACCTCATTTGTATGATGAAGAAATCGAGGATTACTCGCGGACCATTGAGGACTCGCTGGAAGGCGCTGACGAGGACGAGGTTGGTGACTATCTACACTCCAACATGTACTACCGACCCACAGGAAGGCGCCCCAATCAACAGCTCACTGCACCCATGCCGCCCTCATACCCAGTACATCCCTTGCCACAGGGCAGACAGCTTAACAACAACCATGACGACGACGACGAGGACAATGATGAAGATGATAATGACGATGACGAGTTTATGGATCAGGAGTAAATCAAGCCAGACTTAAATACACAAGACTCAATAGTTTATAAAATTCAGGAATTTTAGTTACCTAGTCGAGGCCAAAAAACATTTTTTCTTAGGACCCTTCTTTTTAGCTTGATGTTATTTAAATTATTGCTAGTGGACCATGGACCAACAACCATGACGACGCCGACAACGACGAGGACAGTGATGAAGATGACAATGATGAGGAGTATATGAATCATTAGTTAATCAAGCCAGACTTAAATACAGATGACTCAATTGTTTATAAAATTCAGGATGTTTAGTTACCTAGTCGACGCCAAAAAATATGTTTCCTTAGAACCCTTTTTAAATTATTGCTAGTGGATGATGAAGTGTATATATACATAATTATAATTTATAATCCATATATACCTAGAGAAGATCAAAGATACGTCAATACATAAATCAACCCTTCACTGCACAGCCAAACATCACCACGACAACAGACGATGAATAGGAGTAAGTTTTGGCAGACTTAAATACACAAAAAACTAGTTAATAAAATTCAGAAAGTTCAGTTAGCTAACCGATGCCAAAAGAAATTTTCCTTTAAAAATTATTTCTTAACTTAAATTATATAAATTGATTGCCTCGCAAAATCCTTTACATTAGTTTATAACCTTAGGTCTGACAGTGAAATTACAACAACGGCAACTACAGAAAATGACGATGAACAGGAGTAAATTTAGGCATACTTTAAAACATAAGACCTAATAGTTTATAGAATTCAGGAAGTTTAGTTACTTAGTCGAAGACAAAATATATTTTCCTTTAGAACTATTTTTGTAGTTTGATGCTACTTGAATTATAGTTTGTGGGTGGAGTGTACATAGATATTTTTAATTATATTAATTATACATTTTGGAAGCATCAAGTCCTATAAATCAACTTTTCACTGCCCTCAGCCCAAACAGTCAATACGTTACTTGCCTCAGCACAGACTGCAACACTACAAGCGCGAAAACAGACGATGGCGAAGTAATGAATACCATTCGACTCCCTAATTAATAAAATTCTGATTTCAGTTGCAAGCTTAACATAAGTTTCCCTAAAAACCAGTTCGTTAATATTGTTCATTTGTAAAAACTTGCATTCATATTATATATTTTAACTTTTACTTATAATAAATGATAAGAGGCAAACATTTTAACACAAGCAAATGTTTTAATTTAATAAAGGTATTGTTATTATCCAAATATAAATTATAATTTCCGTATACGAATTAGAATATATTTGTAACCGGAAGGAATTTTATCTGTGGGTATTTCCATGGTGTCCAACGTCCTTATCCGTCGCATACATAATTTTGGAAAAAAGCCAAACTGAAGGACATTTTTTTTTCTTCTGTTTAACACAAGGCTCTTTGTGAGTACCATATTTAGTGGTCAAATTAATATTATAAAGTTGATAGCGTCCCATGGGATCCAGCAATTACTTGAAATAGGAGCATCTATCTTAGTAAAGAGCTTGTCTCCTAAGCTCTTATCAGAGCTTCTTCAAAGTTCTGCTCCTCTTCATTAGGAGGTTGAGCAAGTGCTGCTCACTTAGGCGATCTCTTTACTCCAGTGGCAAGGACTAAAAAAATCGAGCTAAATGGATGCCAAAAATTAAACATTTGGTTACACATTCTTTGACCAAAAATATTTGTGGAATGACTGTCTTCATATATGTAGCATCTCGTAAATAGAGTATTACAAAGAAAATGACCAAAAACAAGAAAATACATTTATGAATTATTGAAGGTATTTCAAATGCTAATTGTTCAAATAAATGAGATGTAAATGTGTTTCTTAAATATCTGATATAAACGTTTGTTAACCTTTCTGTGGAAGCGGCCATATACAATTATCGTTCTGTCTCGCTCATTATTGTGTGTCAGTGGGTTATGCCATCTCACTCTTTTTGGATGGTACACTGGCAGCAATAAGCTACGTCTTGGACCAACTAGGTTTAACTGGTGTCCCGCTGGGCCCAGAAAGTGCAAATGCAATCCATCTGCTGCACATAGACCATTTTGATGCTGTCATCAACCTAGCGTGCAACTTATGTCTCCAGCAGTAAGAAAAATACTGCAGAATATTACTGACCATAACTGCAGGTTGCAGAGGCAATCCATGACTTGATTTCTAACAAAGATCATCGATGCAGGTCGATTTTGATGCGTTTTGGAGAGGTGTTTAGCATCGACCGCGGCTCAACGTGGATGGCACGCTTTTCACCGGCCATGCAGACCACTTTAATGCGTTTCGTTAGCTGTTCCATTTCCATGGGCATTTCATTGGCGCATTTCAGTGCCATTTCGGTCAGCGTGCGCTGTCGCTCGCGTCGCTCCCTGCGCGGATGCGGCACAATGAATCCGTTGTAGATTTGCAGCAACTGATCAATTGATAAGCTTTCGACATTCGGCACATACAATTCGCGCTGCAGAATACAATAACTGGTTGATAAATAACAATAACCTCGACATTGGCTTACCTTTCTTAGCTGCTCCAACATTTCTGCGCGTGTTGGTTCCACATACTGCATGTATTCCATTAAATCTATCGAAAGTGTGATCTGTGTAGGTGAAGAACATAAATATTCCCCAACTTAAAACTCAGAGCTGATAATAATTGCTGTACGGTTTCTAGTGAAACAGCTGACTTTCCTTCTTAGGGTTGCCACATGCTACGAAATAAATTTATGGATGCCACCGTACTTTTTATATATTATAAAAATGTAATAACATTTTATTTGCTATATATTCGTTGCCATCAGGTAAAAAATATTAGTTACGCAAAAATGGATAAGTGGCTTGTACATACAAGTCAGAGTCTGTTTCTTTTTGAAGTTAACCGAATTATAACCGCTGTAGTTCGCCGTAAAAATCTGTATTTCTCGTAGCTTTAGAACTACATTCCCCAAATTTGATACTTTCTGTGACGTCCATTAAATATTGAGTCATATTTAAGGTAGAACACTCCCGAAAAACGCCACGATTCGGACAGATCACAGTTTGAAAAAGTGCTGCACGAAAATCGATGGCACTATCGATAGTATCGTTGAGAAAAATGGATGGCCACTATCGGACTTTGACATAGTCGACCGTTGTTTATTTTGCACATCTTAATCACTTGATTACAAAATCTTTGCAAAAATATTTAGAAATATGTTCCACTAAATGTTAATGCAATATAAGCGGATTACTTTAAGCAGATGCATATACTTAACTCAAATTGGTGGGGGGGTGAGCATTATTAAATCTAATACTTATTATGCAATTGCCTCCTCTTAAAGGATGAAACAAACCATTTAGGGAAAATATTTAAGATTTCATTCGCGCAGTTCTTAACAGTTACAGCTATTGTAACAGACTATCGGGAGCTTAATAGTAGAGGTGAATCAAAATGATTTAATCGTTAACTACAGTCGAGTCGATTTTACCCGACTACGACGTTTCTACTTAGTGCACTCGTTATTTTTATGTGGACCAGTTCTGTCAACAATTTATTGCTTTGTAATGCATCAATGAAACAAGTTATGATAATGTCAATTATTATTAAATAATTTATATTTATAAATACAAAATTAAAAGTAATTAAAAATTTGTTAAGCATTAATATTAACAAAAAAATTTGTCTCTGCGCGGTCGTTTTCAATGGTCCTATCTCCGCACGGAATTATGTTGTTTACAAACATCAGAACTCCACGCGGTTATCTGTCGTTCGGAGCTATGTCGCATTATAACGACAAAGTCTTACGTAGGTCAACGGAAACATGTCTCTTAGATGAAATTTGACGTTCAAAGATTGCATGGTCGATATCTTTTTCTCTCCATAAAAATATATTGCATACCCGTTACAATGGTTTTGGAGACCCCACCGGCAACTGTGGAATTATTGCATTTGGAATATTTTTTTCGAAAAATCCAGCGCTCTTGTATAGAAATTGCGGGTGAAGGGGTTTTTGGCTTAAAGATGCTCACGAAAAGACCAACACTTGGTTCTTTATTTGATGTGCTTTAAACCCGTTTTCAAATACCAAATTTCAAAACATACCACGGGGGAATATTCTCTATTAGTATAATGTATACAGCTGTCTGTCTTGACAGATATTAAATTTGCGAAAATTCGTGAGCTCTGTGGGAATATTAATAAGCAATATTCTTAGAATCTTATCAACAACCAATGCAAAGAATAGGTTATAATAACAACATTGCTATAGTATTTCTCTAATGCTTAAAAACATAGGCACATGTTTCAAATATTTTTGGAATTAAAAGTTCCATGTGCTAATGTTGATTATTTAGCAATCTTTCTAATTCCATGTAGATGGACAAGCTGGCTCGAGGTATACCCAGACTTGCCCAGAGTTAACGAAGAATTTACTATTTCAATTTGTTAATGTCATTTATATTTTAATTCAAAAGTCCACAATATCGTTATTTAAAAAATCAATCAATCAAACACATTATTTTTGATGACGATCATTTAAAATATTTACAAAATTTATTTATGTACTATTAATTAACTTAAAATCCTCACACTACGCGTTATGGGGTTCGGTTCTAAATTACATTTTTCATCCATGTGTTGTTAAGGTACTAAATTATGATTGTACACGCTCTACACTTAAATAAAAAAAGAAATATTATATAATGTTACTTTCTTATTAGAATATCATTCTAATTGTAAAAGTAATAGCGGTACAGTAGTATATAAAGTAAAAATTACATACTTTTGAGAGCGCTTACATTATTTAATTATGCAGCATACTTTTAGGCTGCAGATGGATGTGGCGTAAATTGAACACTTTTAATGAAGATGATTGGGCAAATAAACACAATATTTCGGTTCTTGGCAGAAACAACCAAATAGATTGCATGATCAAAAACCGATTGAACCGATTTCAACGCGAGATTGTAACACGTTCAGCTCGTGATCTAAATGAATTATTATAGATACCCTCATGTCTGATATGTGATTAGTGCAACCAATGAACTACATTTTAAAGTGCCTCATCCTCGGATGTATACAATTATTTTGTAGTGCTCGTATGCAGGGAACGTAGCCCCGTTGCCTGTCTCGTCTCTTCCCGTCTCGCTTCTTTTCTTCTCATATCTGCTCGTCTCGCACATTGACATTGACGCTGACAGCGCTGTTGACGTCGCGTCGCATCGCGTCGCGTCGACGGGTTCCAATTTCCTTTTGCCATAATTTTTGGCACTTTATGTGCCAGTAGATAAGAATAATATGCCTGACTTTTGGGTATTTGGGTTTTCAGTTTTCGTTTCGTTTTTTATTCTTTTATTTTTGTTTAATTTAATGCCGTGAGCCCATTGAAAATGTTTGAAAAGGGTATATTGGTTTTCTGTAAATGTATGTAACAGGCAGAAGGAGATATCCTCATATTTTCATAATATTTTTCTTTAGAAACATAGGTTAGGTTAACATAGGCATAGGTTTTCTGCATACCGTATAGTATATACAGATTAAAAATATTTAGATCTTTTGAAACTTCCCTCCAATCTCCTCGAAATTTAAATAAACTTATTATTGAGCTTTGGTATATACACATTTTTGTAGGCCGTATTAGGTTCTGATTTCATAATTTCATTAATGGCGAACTATAATAACCAAAGTTAATCAAGAATACATTTCCCATCCACAGCCGCTGCAAAAATGAGCAGCAAGCGACATGTGTGCTTGTGTTTCTGTGTATGTGTGTTACAATGTTTGTAACGGCAGCTTGTCGCCGAGTTCAGGGTATCTGCTAGTCGGGCAGTCGAGTCTTACTTGATTTTTTTTTTGTATCGCTCTGTTGGGAAGGCGTTTAAGTGTTTAGTGCTAAACGTTTCCTTCTCACAGCAATTGATATGCGATTGAGGAACTCCTGCAGTTCTGGTTGCGTTATCCTTTGTCGTAGATACACATATTTGAAAAACGCTTCACGTGCGTTCAGGCAACCAAAGTGCTTGTCTGTCGAATTTGTCACTTCACTTGGCTGCAGTGTCTACCAATTTTACTCAAATATCATTTGGTGATCGTGTGAGTGTGTGCGTGTGTATACTTAGGCTCACATGCTGCTCAGACGAACAGAGCGCTCTCATCGGTAGGGGGTCAGACAATTGCCTAACTGTTGCTTTGGCTGCTGATTGAAAATTTTCCGTAAGTGCATTCAAGAATTAACTATGCCCATTTTTGTGAGTTGCCCCTGCTCTTGGCTGAGGAAGATAGTAGCTGAGCCCCTTAAGAACGGCACCAACACTCGGGCACACACACGCACACACATGGAAATGTTTCAATAGTTCATTGATTATGTTAATATGAAAATGCCGTCGGAGCTGTCGCTCCCCTTGATTAACCTTATCACTGGCTCGTCTCTTGTATTTTTTAGTCTTTAGGTCTGTTTGTTCTCTTCTAACTAACAGCAGAAACTCCAATCGAAACCGAAACCGAAATCGAACCGAAACCAAATAAAAAATCTGTTTCATAATCTTTATGTTGTTGCATTTTATGTATTGACAATTTTCCATTTCCCCCCGCTACCTCTCCCACTCTCTATCTCTTTCTCTCTCTCTCTGTCTCGCTATTTGTTACCCTGTGTTGCCTTACTGGAGCTAGTTGCTGTTTTTCTTTTTATAATCTGTATTTGTTTTTGTTTCTTTACCTTTGTGGGTTTTCCCGTTCACACGTTCCTCATGGAAAAATTTTATCTCATGTAATAATATATGTATGTATGTATACTTGTATATTGATCAGTTTTCGGTCGTTTACATGTAAATTTGGGCGTTTTTAGCTCAAACTTTGTTTTTCTTGGGGATTAAGTCGAAATGCTGACTAATATTATATTAAAATTACGATTACACGAATGTTAACGATCTTGTCTATATGGCTTTGAACATATGTTTTTCTTAATCAAATTTACCAAATGTGCCTAGATACATAATACAAAGTATAACTACGTTGTCTACCTTAGAACAGTAGTTACCTATGTATGTAGCATAGGTAAATCGGGACTAGTGTTATTATATATTCCATTCAAGTCGTTTCTGTAATGTTTATACGATTTTCTTACCAAAGTCACCAATAACTTTAAACGAGATAAAAAAAACATTTATATCATAAAAAATAAATGATGAATATAATTTTTAATGATTTTTCAATTTAATATCCAAAAGAAAGATCATGAAAAGACAAAGCGGCGTTCAATACACAGACGGTAACGATTTAACACTAGAAACTTATATTTTATTAGTTCTGTGGACTTCAATCTCAATTCCAAATAGATATTTAAGCTATACATGAGAGCAGGAGTTCAAGATGGTAAAGGCAGATTAATAATTTTTAAGAGCGGGAAACGGTTAGAGATAATAATGACTAAGAATTGAAACAAAAAACTTGGACTGGGCAGGGAAAATGCCAGCTGGGAATAACCAGAATAACCAGAATAACCAATAATATATAATTGTAGATCTATGATAACGCGTAAATCTCAGAGGTTGCAGCCAAGAAGAAAATATATTAATGAATAACATTATAAATTATGACTACTATAATTATTAATTAATTATTTATTAATTATTATTAATTTTAATTTAATTTACCGGTGTTCCAACCAAATGCAATCTTTGATTAGGATATACCTTAAAAAAGTTGTGTATACAAGAACTTTATATTCCGATCATTCCAATGGCAGCCATAAAATGTTGTGATCCGGCCGGTTCCGACATACGTACAACCTGCATGACGGACCTATGAAAGGTTTCATGGCGATAACTGTTAGAGGCGAGTTTGCACAGAAACAAGCTGACTGACAGACAGACTTGACGGTATCGACTTTGCTGTTGATACCGATCAGGGGGATATACATATGTATATGTACTTCAGGGGTTTGGAGATGCCTTCTTCTGTGCGTTAG